ACCCTAAACCCTAAACCCTAAACCCTAAACCCTAAACCTAAACCCGAAAAACCCTGAAACCCGAAAAACCCTGAAACCCGCGACGTCCCAACCACACATGCCCCACGGTATCGCGTCTTGGGGCCGCCTTAATCCTGGGAAACTCCGATAACGGTTACACGGCTTTAAACCTCGGGAACTTCGATAACGGTTACACGGCTGTGATCCTTGGGAACTCCAATAACCGTCAAATACCTCCAAATAAAACCACTCGTACCTCGTCTACGCAATGCTATGAACTTTTCTAACTATACCACTATCAACTTCGTTAAAAATAACCCTACTTTTTATCAAGCTTATATCAAACCCTGAACATCCAGTCTCCCCACTATGTCTAAGCTTGATCAATGTCATATCAACACGCCATCGTCACTCTATCCAATATATATCAACCATATATCAACACACTATCATCACTATATCCAATATATATCGACCCTGCCTCACTACTATATCCAATTTTTCTCTAATATATATCAACACACCATCATCACTCTACCCAATCTTTCTCTAATATATATCAACACGCCATACTCCCTACCTAAATTTTCTCCAACATATATCCAACTCAAAAAAAACCCTAATTTAAATCCCTAAGCTTTTCTCTTCCATCCAACCTATATTAATAAAACCCTAAACCTTCATCGAAATCATATCCTAATTCTCTCCAACCTACCCCTACTTCCACCTTATAATCTAACCCTAATGAACCTAAACTAAAATTTATCCTAGTTCGTTATATCACCCATCTAGATCTTAGCCACCACCACTCCCACCCTATATGATATCACCACATTGCCTTATATCTTGGTAATATGGGCCCGAGCCGATGATCACCACGCTTTATACTTCCATTCCTAAAATCAACCTGCCTACCCAATTATAATCTCACCATCAAATGCGAAGTCTGCTACCAACCTAACACAAAACCCTACAATTCTGAATGTCCACCCACTCGATCCCATCCGAAGCAAGTCCGACTAATCCGAATCATTACGACGAAACGATACCCGACGAACCGTGCCAACCAGCCCATTGCTGCTGCGCCTGATCAAGAAACTCCTACACATATAACACGTCTTCCGGAACCGAAGACCCCTATTACCGGATCCATGAGACCACTTCGGACCGCAGAACGAGATAACCCTGATCGTTCTCTATCACCATCCTCCTCTATGTGTGACCGACCGCAGGAGACTCTAACAAAGGAGCCATTCCATGACCTCGCTCGTCAATACAAAACACTGAACGTGAAGATCCAGGAACTCGAGCTCCAACTGACAGTCCTTCAAGCTCAACCCCTAAGATCCAACCTCCGGATCGAGAACCTGAAAATCGAACGGAATGACGCTATGGCTCATCGTGACATTGCACGTCGACATCGCGGACATCTCGCCAACCAGCTCCGGAACCGAACCCCCACTGGCACACCCATCGTAGACGCTACTGCGAACCGAAAGACTACGAAGATGCCTGACCCTCCGATCCTCCGCGACGGTAAACAAGTCCGATGTGAAACCTGGGAGACCGTGGTCCGACAGACACTTGAAGCGAATGCAGACCATTACCCGCTGCCCGTTCATCGCAAGCTCTGTGTACTGAGTCCTTGGGAAGGAAAGCCTCGGCTCTCGATCGCACCACGAATAACTTCCGACTCGAGCAACCCCTACGTCGACGCCGAAGACATCATAGTCCACCTGAAAACCGGGTGTGCGAATCCGAACCGACGTGCCGAGGCCTACGCTGCATATCGTAAACTAATCATGAAGCCGAAGGACGACTTCCCCGATTTCCTCGCCGAGTTCATACTGCTCGCTGAAGAGGCTGCGGTCCTCGAAGAAACCCGGAAATGGGTGTTGTACTCGAAACTGCCATACCGACTACAGTGTCGGGTTGGGTGGGCAGTCAATCAGGATACTATGACCGTTGAGAACTTCTCTCAGACCTGCCAGAGTATCTCTCGAATTTGATTGTAGTGGTCCTAAGGACGAAATGATGGGACTGGGTTACATCGGCTTATAGTAGAAGACTATGTCAGGAAGAAAATCCCACTGCACTATTCATATCATTCGGAATTATTCCTAGCCAGGACCACACGACAGACTGCCCACTATCACTGAAAACCATGGGGAAACGCAGGGAGTATCCGATCCGGAAAGCGGCCAAGGAAGCCTGCATAATCGTTCTGGTGGATAGTGCCTCGAACACCATCCTCGACGTGGCGAGTGACACTCTGCCGGAAGCTGCGAATTGCACCATACCAATTGTGGACATGGTCTTCCGTGTCAATGGACTTATGCTTCGAGAGGGAGAAATCTGCAAATCTCTCAGGACTGCCGTCAAGCTCGATCGCGCAGGGGATAGGCTGGCGACTGAGAAGCCAGTTCCGGTAGTGGGCACGACGAGCCCGCTGGTATCAAGCAATAAAAGGTTAGCAAGAAGAGCTTGGAAAATAGGACGTAAGAACCATACCGAGCAACCGCTATAGATTCCATGCTCGTCAATGTGATTCTGGGCCAGCAGACGAAAGGACTGGCAAAGGTTGGCAATCTTGGCCCCCAGCTGCGCGAGGACCCGGCCAGGCAAGATCCAGTTACGCTCAAACCCGTCGAAATATGGCCGTGTGGGGTCATAGGATCCCCACATCAGGTTCACCCAGGCGATCAGGGAGAGCAACTCGTAACGGTGGCCTTCGATCCCAGCAGGAACCTAAGAGGGAGACCGGGAGTCAGCAAAGAGATCGTGGATTCAATACGGTGATACTACCTGCTCGCAATTCCGACCCTCCTGGGCACAGTTCTGGCAGTCATTGGAGTTACCGGAGTCCTGAACACAGCGAAACTCAAAACGAGACCCGAAACCATGCTCGGCCCCTGCCTGGATCCAGTTTATAACATTGAGCTGGACGCATGTGAGGCAAAAGAGGAACTGCCGGACCGAGGTGGAGAGTTGCGCACGAACGTGCTGGCCGGAGGGGTTGCTGTCGCCGGGGGCGCGACGACGCTCAGACATGATTGCTGAGGATGAAAAGTACGAAGGGACGTGGCGTCACTTGCGACGAAAGGGGATGAAAAGGGCGATAAGCACACTAAGAGGTGGCGTTAAGGACAAGGCAAAGGTGAGGAGCACACTCAGAGATGGCCTCAAGGACAAGGCAAAGGTGAGGAGCACACTCAGAGATGGCGTCAAGGACAAGAAAAAGGTGAGGAGCACACTCAGAGATAGCGTCAAGGACAAGAAAAAGGTGAGGAGCACACTCAGAGATAGCGTCAAGGACAAGAAAAAGGTGAGGAGCACACTCAGAGATGGCGTCAAGGACAAGAAAAAGGTGATGAAAGGCAGGTCCGTTTACTCTCAGAAGGCTTCTTTTTGCCGAAGAAATCTACACGGAAGGCTGGCCGTAAACACACGAGAACGCGTGAAAGGTTACTTATTCCTTATATCGACTCTCATATAGTACTTAATTTGCTAGAGTTGCTTAGATCCGTGCCTCCTTCTCCCCAGCCTTCTGCCACTGTACTCGCAACCAAATAAAATCCCTACACAGCATATTGAAGCCGGTGGTATAGTCTACCATCCCCAGATAATCACACATCGTATCGCGGTTGTGGGGATCAATGGTCTCGCCATACGAATGGCCTGTCAACCGCTGCACGATCCCCTCAAGCCATCGATCTCGGATACTGCGTGCGGCGACACGACTGCCTGTCCGAGCTGTTAGTCGTGCCGGCTGGGTCCGGTGCGCCATCATCGCTACCATCGAGAACACCATCCCTCGGTACTTACACTCCGTGATTGTACCAGGGAAGTGTCCAGGGTCACACGTCCGTCGTGGCATATAGCACTTGAAACATGCTGTGCCAGGTACGAGCTTGACATGACCACGTCGGGACGTCCACCACTCCTTGGCCGCTTGGTTCCCTGGGTTAGGGCACCGCCAGAGATCGTGGGAGACCTGCTCTAGCTCCATCCCATCCTGCGTACAGAACCAGCACTGCTGACCCCACCGGATGACCTCCGCGATCAGGGTCTCGCTGGCAGGGGATCCGGAGTGATCCGTGTACCGGACCTTGGACGGGGTACGCTCGATGCGCGGTGGGGTGGACCGAGGCGTGGAATGCCCTGGAGGGTGCGCGAGGACGGGCGTTCGTGGGACATACGGTCGCTTGGTTGCCGGCGGGAGACTGGACGAGCTCTGGCCTGTCTTGTATATATCGCGAGCAGTGCAGAAAACGGCCGGGGGATCTGTGACAGTAAAGTCATGGGAGATCGGTCGAGCGCGTTTCCCAGATGGTGTGTGGGGACTGAGGTGGCTCACGTCACGGGGAGAGTTCCGCGGCGGTAGAATCGCTGGAGTGGTGGGCGAACGTGCAGCGGCAAGACTGGCTATCCGAGGAGGACTCATCGCCTTAGCACGGAACCGCTCGTCCAGCAGCATCTGTTCGCCAACCGCAATGTCGGCTTCAATCTGCAACCGCTCGGCCTCTTCGTGCTCCTGTGCAAGCTGGGCCACATGGTCATCGTCCACGGCAGGATCAGGGGGAAAGTCTTCAAAGAGGTCCACGTAGCAGTCAATGTCGATATCATCCGGCGCCTCGTCATCCAATGGATCGTCCTCTAGCCACCGACAACCGTGGTAGGAGGGACTGCGTTCGGTCGCACTAGATAACCCACTGGGTTCAGACGTCCAAAAGTCCGTATCGATGGACTGGGTGGACGGACTGTATGCGGTGGTACGAAGATCCCGAACCGTTCTCTTCTTATCGACGTTATCCGGATCCTCTGGGTCTGGCTCGCATCGGTCACACCGCCGCTCGAGACGACCAGCAGCTCCGTCTCCACATCGCTGGCGGGAGTATCCATCCACACAGCCGTCGAGGTACTGGTCCAGGATATACCGTCGACAGTCCCCAGCAGCACAGTCCACAAACCGCCCAACCCGCTCGAACTCGGCCACGCTGCCCCCCTGCTGGATACGCGGGGCTCCAACTGGTTGGATGATGATGGCCTCACTGGGTAACCCATCCCGTCCGGCGCGGCCACTCTCCTGTGCGTACTCGAGGAGGGAGTAGGGAGCGCCAAGGTGGATGATGCAGCGGATATCGGGGATGTCAACCCCCATACCAAGTGCACTGGTGGCAGTGATCACCGAGGTCTCACCAGTACGGAACCGTTCGAGTATAGCGGCCTTGGCATTCTGGGAGCTGTGGTATCCATCACACTCGAGCACTTCTGCAAGTGCGTTGACGGCAGATACGGAGTTTGCATACACCAGCACCTTACCTGGCAGACTATCGCGGACCTTTTGCTGGATGAAATCAATCACCTCGGGCGCCTGTGCCGGGCGGTTCCCGTACTGATACTGCCGCTCGACCGCTGGCTGGTACATACGATACGCAACGTTCGGCCGCGATGTCCGGTCGCGGAAAAGATGTACGTCTTTACGCTGCGTACGAATCCGCATGAACAGCTCGTCTTCGACTTCAGGGGGAAGCGTCGCAGTGAGGTACACCATCGGGACCTGGAACTTGGTCAGACGCCCCAGTCGCGCCAGGTCGGGTCGAAAGTGCTTCTGATTGTTCAGGATGACATGGCACTCGTCAATCACGATCCGGTCGAGGCGGTAGAGCGCCTTGGTGCGGTTAAGGAATGCAAAAAAGTCTTCCGTCAGCGCTGACTCCGGCGTTACCAGCACAATCGACGCACTGTCGACTGGTCGCCGGCTCTCCCACTCCACACTGGACAGCTGGAGTTCCTGACAGCGACGGTGGATATCCCCTCGGAGTGCCAGCAGGGGAACCACAACCACCGTGGTCCCACGGGAGCAGATCCACGCCGGCAGCATAAAGAGAAGGCTCTTGCCACCACCAGTGGGCATAACGGCGATCACAGGACTCCGTCCCTCCTGGATGGCCTCGAGAGCAGGACCCTGCATACCACGGAACCGCGCCTGCTCATCTCCGGTCATATCACGGAGTTGGTTTTCCAACGACGCCTCTCGGAACTGGAGCTGCCAGTACTCCCGATTCTGCTGCGCCTCCACCTGCCACGGCGAGTGTGGGCCGAGTGGCCTCTTTTCGTCTCGGTGGGCCGTGGCAGATGGGAAGAGGAGCCATCGGTGGAGGTCCTCGCTGACAACACGGAAGATCTGCCGTCGATACGCCGTCGTGCCAGGCTGCTCGTTGATCAGGCGGCCGTAGGTCGTGCCAGCCACGTTGGACGAGTGTCCGGCCTGCATGTCGGAGGCGTGTGCCAGCCACTCGGGCAATCCCATGCCGCTCTCGTCGTCTGGATCATCCGGTTCATCCTGTCCACTATCCTGGGCTTGGACCGATTGATGCACAGCACGGAGGAAACGGCGACTGATCGCGGTACAGATGTCACGCCATGCACTCGGTGTGAGGGACTGTCCCTGGAGATCGTGGAAGCTGGCCATCTTGAGCTGATCCCGCAGTCGGTCACGGTTCCAGCTCTTGCCAGTGTAGTCTGGTGGCCATAAGAACGCACGGCGATCACTGTACAAGGTTAGGGATGCGGTCGTGATGGATTGGACAGGGCTTACCGTAGGTGATCCTGCTGGCCTCGCTCGGCTCGATACTCCTGGAGCTTTTCCACAAACGGCAGAACCAGCCAGAGATACCAGACGACCAACTCGCCGACCTCCCGGGGTAGGTACCGATGGATGACCTTAACGTCGTTCGACGCGTAGAATCCCTTGTGGTACTTGGTCACAAACGTGACCATCCCATCCTCGATGAACAGATCGCGAATCCCTCCACCAGGGGTATTGCGGTGTCGGATACTGAGGAGCTCCCGGCCACGTGCTGGCTGGCCGCCGCAGAGGTGGACGATCACGCAGAGTTTCTCCCGGAAGCGGATCACTTTGTCGAGGTAGATGTCAACTCGCTTTGTCGTCAGCTGCCGGTCGTCGATGAACTGGCTCTGGATACTCGGTGTGTTGCGGGTGCGGAGTAACAGCCAGTTGGATCCGTCAACCGGCCACGGGGTCCGTTTGTCCTGCAGGAAATTCCATCCGTCCTTGCTCTCCACGGGGTCGTCGTACAGCTGACTCCATGGGATGGTAGGGATTGCCGCCGTACCCTCGGCCGGGGCAAAAAGGAGTTGGTCGAACAGACACTCGTGCGCGTCGCTCACCCGCCGATGGACGAACGACCGGAACTCCGTCATCGTGAAGTTCAGGTCTTTGTATAGTAGGCGATCCTCGGCCATCCAGCTGACGTGGCCCGGCACCGTACTGTTGAAGTGTACCTTGAGGCCGTACGATCGAAGGTCGAGCATCCATTGGAGAGGACTGCGGGAGCCACGTACCATGAACAGGTCGACCATATGATCGACCCACTGTGCAAAGGTACGGGTGGTTGGTGCTAGTACCGTGGCATGGCGGCCAGACGTCACGAAACTGGGGTCGTTCAGGGGACTCGCACTGTGCCAGTCGGAGATATTGCTCGGATCCTGCATCTGTTGCATCACGCTGGCGGCGTTTGGGTCGAGCAGCATGGCCGTGTGGACCACCATAAACCGAGCAATCTTGATTACCTTGGATAAAATGGGGGGAAGCTATCTGCGGTACGCCATCCACCAGGTCCGTGGCCCTGGACAGCAAGGGCACAGAGCAGCGCGCACTCGTAGTCCTGGACGTGGATCTGCTGGTTGAGGAGTTCGATGCAGAAATCCAAGCATGCACGGTCGAGCTCGGTCAGTGGACGGCTGATATCCGTGGCGTACTGCTCGCCGTCCATCGAATCGTCACTGTCGTTGGAGCACTCGCTGGCGACGTCGTCAACCCCACAATCTTCCTGCGTCTCGCAGCGGCTGAGCACGGGAGGACTGTCAGGGTCTGGTCCATGGAGGGAGAGTCCAGCCTGCCGCCAGAGGTGCTCCCATGATAGACGCTGGCGAGGGGTGAGGCGATAGGACGGGCTCTTCCATTGGTGTGGGGTCTGGGTCCGAGCGAAGAACATGAGGATCTGCTGCCACGGGAGACAGTGGCGTTGGATGTTAGCCCCGTCCATATACGCCTGCAGTGGTTTGTGGGGAGTTGATCCCGCTGCACGCGGATGGCGGCGATGCGGATGGTGTGGCCAGTGAGTGCGGTGACTCTCTGGCTACGGTGGGTGACCGCTTCCATCGCATCCCAGATGGCCGCAGCCGTCCGCTCCGCCTCGAGCTGGTCCCCACGCTCCGGTCGTCGTACGCACTGGATCAGGTCGTCTGGGTCCGATCCCTGGAGATACTCCGCCCACTGGGTACGGCGGAGCCATGGGTTGGCCTCGTCAGCCTGGGCGGGATCGATATCGCGGTTATCGGTGGCCGGATCGCCAAGTGCGGCCAGGCGGTCGAACTGCGTATAGAGCGGATCCAGTGTCGTCGGGTGGGTGTCTTGGACGCTGCGCTTGGCTGGCTGGGCCTCGATCATCACATAATGCGATCCAGTTCCCGAGGTGAATACCTTCTGGCATACCACCTGCGTGGTGGGCTGTGCGGTGCTGGGGACGCCGTTCTCAAGGAGCGCCGGATGGTGGAGGCGCCAGTGCTTCCTCATTGTCTGCGGAGTTCGTGCGATATACCGGCACATATCGACCGAGCCGGCGTTCTGGGCTGCCTGGTAGTCGATATCCTGGATGGTGCACATCAGAGCGTCTGGGTACTCGGCGATCCCGGCAATGGGTATAGGGAGACTGGCTGGCGGGATATAGGAGTCGCACTCGGCCGCTCGGTCCCACTGTTGGACCCGACTGGCGATCTGCTGGCGGACGGCAGGGCTGAGCTTCTTATGCTGGTGGTTGAGATGACCATTGGTCTCTTTGGGCCGAACTCCGATTTTACATTGCGAACAGACGACCACCGGGTGGTGTTGAGGTGGTATAAATGGATTCTCGGCCATAGTCGGGGGTTTGAGGGTGAGCGAAGATATGTCGGGGAATAGGGATGCATGGGGATATATATATTAATTTCCTCCACCATATCGGCTGCATATCCAGTTGCTTTTTTGGATTCATGGTAGGAGCATACCAGATAGGGCTATGAAGATGACCTATCACCTATATACTATCTGTCACCCCGTTCTCAAAAGAAAAAGTCTAGACACGTCTCATACAGATAGAATTGGTTTTGGGACGTATCGAGCGGCATAAAATGAAATGCGATCGCCAGCAGTCTGTGGAAATCATCTTGGACCTGTCAAGCTACCGGCTGAAACGGGGTATAATATAGCGGCAACACCCACCTCCGTTGGCCGTAAATCGAATCCCCCTGCCGCTGTACGGCTCACCCATGTCAGGATGCCTCCCGAGCGGCGGATTGTCATGGAAAAGTCCAAAGATATAAAGCGACGACACCAGAGAAGCAAACCGTTCCGGTTTACACCCGCGCAGATCGCCCGGATGGACCGCGAGGATCAGCGCGAGGCTCGGGCGAAGCAGATTCGGGAGAAAGACGCGAGACGAATCGCGAATAAAAAGAAAAAAGCCGACGCAGAAGCCAAGGCGCGTACAGAGCGGAGGGCGCGGGGGATCCCAGACCCGAATACCCGTGTGCCGTCCAGTCAGCCACTACTCCTAAAGTTCTTCAACGCTAGCGCCAGACGTGATCGGTCGCCGGAGCCGGTTGAATCGAGCAGATTCGTGGCTGATATAGACCTGCCAGACGGAGCGATTCTCAGTACCGATCGGGTGGTACTTGGCGGGGCCGCTGACTGGGATTGTTTTGATTTGTGGACCGATAGAATCGACGGTGGCGGCCCCGATCTAAAACCGCAGAGGGATCTTGGTAACAATTTAATTGTGATTGGATCTTCATCGGATCCCAATCCAGCGCGAGGCAACGATCCGGGCTGTGGCGCAGGAAAAACATTACCTGGATGTGATGGTACCGATGTGGAGACTGCGTGTGAGACTGGGTATGAGACATACCGAGATGTTACTATAGGGGATATGGAAGAGGCCGGTGAATCATGCTGGCGTTCAAGTCCGCCGGTGTGGGACTTGGATGTGCTCGCGTCTCATATGGCGCCTTCTGCAGGGTTGGGTATTTCTGCTTCTACCGAAGAAGGCGAGATCACGATAGCAGTACAGAGTCCTAGTCAATTGTCCTGCAGTCGACAATCGCCTAGGACTCTGCACTGTATCCCACCATCATCGCCTGTCGTGTCGGCCCAGCGTATATCTCCGGATAGCCAGTCGCCGGTCGCTTCCTGCCAGTATGGAAGCTCGCATTTTGCTTCCTCCCAGTTCGACCCGACCGATTTCCTCTTGGCTGAGGCAACCGTACCTGTTCAACCAGCGATCCGACCGGATAGTACTTGTATTGGCGGATGGGTTGACGACGGAGTTCGGAGGAGGCAGTCTGTGGCTTCGAGTGAATTGTTTTATGATGATACTGCAGGTTGGATGGAGGATATATTTGTCAATACTCACGGTCATCCTTTCAGTGACGATCGACCAGATGTCTATCTTACGCAACTGCCTTGATGATGTTGAGTCGGTTCTAGACTCTAGGTAGGATGGGAGGGGACATGGATGTTGGTGGGATACGATAATCTGCCTCTTTGTTTACGGCATTGGTGCATAGACTCTGCCGGGCGGTATCTACTGCGGAGTTACGGGGAAGAATACTATCTTTTTATCTCATGGAGGGAGACCATTATAGATTCGAGTATATTTCGTATCGATTGAATCTGTCTTGCTGTTCCTAATCTCCAGTAGAAATCAACAATATCAAAGGGAATTGATTGTTCAACGCATTGGAGATCGCATCGAAGGTTCTCGCTCCATTGCGCCCATTGAACGTCCTGGAAAAGGTCTCGAACGGCGACAACCAGCTCTCTGATGGCGGTGACCACTTCCTTGGCGGCCGTAACAATCTCCTTCACTTTGTCGAGGAAGTCCTTGGCGACGACGACAACGCCTAAGACTCCTAGCAGGACGTCCTTGGTGGCGGCGAGGAGTGCGACGGCTTCAGCCATGGAGTCGGACATCTCCGGGAGAGGCTTGGAAGACAGTCAGTCCAGCAACGTCGAGGATAGGGTGGGCCACTCACCATCGCAAACACGATGGTGGGCCCAGACGAGAGTAGATCGGGTGGAGTAAGGTTTGAGCAGGTGAGACTCTGGTAGCAACGGGATCAGTATCTGCAACAGCAATCGGAGTGGTGGGGCTTACCTTAAGTGGAGCTTTCGAACGTGGGTAGGAGTGTGGCAGGTGGTAAGTGAGAGGAGTAGAGAGAGGAGTAAGCGAGAGGAGGGAATTGGAGTAGAATATATAGGTGAGGGATTCCGCGCGCGCAATGGAAAACTCTGTTAATAATGAGCGAGCGCGCGTACTATCAGTCGGGGATCGCGCAATGGAAAACTCTGTCAATAATGAGCGCGCGTGCTATCAATGGAGGATACGCACGCAGTGCAAAATTGACAATAATAAGCGTGCATGCCATCAATAGGGGATCGCGCGTAGTAGAAAACTGTCAATAATGAAGGCGCGCACTGTCAATGATAATATATAATGTTGACTCGGGTTTATCACATAGTGTATGGCCCACGTGGTATTGACGGGTCGGCCCGTACCGCTTGCCGTCGTATTCGAACCCTGCGTCAACCTATGACGGTATACTGGGCTGTATACACACTCGGCTGCAAGCTTGCAGTTTATCTAAGGCTTTTTCATTGTGTGATGAAAACTGTCATTGCATTCGGCATCTTCACTATCGATCAATCCACTTGTCATGACCGTCTACCGGTAGTCTGTCTATCCTCGGCGAAGATCACGTTCCAGGAACGGGGCTAGGCGCCTCCACTGGCTGCTGGAACGCTCGTCCTCGTCCTTATCTTCCGACCCATCCCCAAAGTTCTCGTCAAATTCGTCGATCAGATCGTATATGCGATTCATAAACGATTCATAAAGGCAAGCTGGTGACGCTGGAAGGATCGTGCAATGTTCAATGACCGTCGTACCCCGGGGTGGGCGAATGAGCGGGCGTAAAGAATGCCGGGGTATCCGGTGTGGGGTCTCGCACTGATCTGGCTGTACTCATCTGGTATCCGACCTCGGGCCTCGAAGAAGCGGGTGCGGTACTGGCGCATGGTATCCTCGAGCGGCTTGGTTAGTATGTTGATATTTGACGGGTGGATGTATTCCACTCATAGGTGTGATATCGGTGGGAGACACACGCTATATACGCCGGTGTGCGGTGACCACGTGGACAAAGTCTTGGACGAGGGACCGGATACTGAGGGCGACCGCGCGAAGGAGTTCGGGTTCGTAGGGGGTCCGGTGTTCTGCCAGAGCATGTTTGGGTACTGGACTAGACCTAGGAGCTCACACAACATATGGGCGCAGCCAGGAGGGACCTAGGAGATGAAGATGTTAGCGTGACGTGACGGGGATGTGATCTGGTCAAATATACTGCGTGGATAGCGAGGTATTCCCGCTCGTTGGCCTCGTAATAGCGATATCTCACGGGACAGAACGCAGTATCCATGTTCCACGAGTCGAGCTGCTGGTTGAGGCAGGGGATACATGGGAGACTTGGCATTATAGTGGTGTCAGGAGTAGGAAATTCGAGGACGGTTGTTGGGCGCTCATCTTGTGGACTGGTGCTTGTTGAAGCCATAGTGAGGTGGGAGAGTGAGGGATTTGTGGTACGAGGAAAGTGTCTCGACGTGGAAGCTGGTCGATGCTGGCCTGTAGACACTGGGTTAGCATATAGGATATGAATGCTCGTTGAAACTGACCTTATCGTACTGATGCACAGTGTAGGAAGTGGATCCTCGTCGAGATTAACCTTCACTTACTGGCACAGTGCATAGGTTGTGGGTTCTTGTCGATGTTGGGATAGGTGCGACATCTATGGAGTGTGCAGGATATGATCGCTCCTACATTGACTGCCTGACCTCCTCTGCTTCCACTTTATAAACTTCCTTTACCCCTGTTCATAAGCAGACGCAGTACTCTCTCGCTACCTGTCCACCTCACCTATCTAACTCGCCCTGGTGTGGCCCCTCTGTTACATCATGTATAGTAAGAGGGCCGACGTGATTGATACGTGAATATCTGAACTTCATCGTACATCCAGGTGACCATTCCTCTACCGTCTAAGTCCTTCAGTGTGTCACATACTAATATATATCTCAACACCTCCAGTTCAAAGCTCTATCTCACACTCCGCTTAAACCCAACTCTCTTCGACCAGTCACCTCGCACAGACTGTAAGCTCATACGGCGAAGTCTACATTCCACCATACGCTACACCGACATTGGCACTACGGATCTACATCCCGAATCCTCACAGCCAAGCTCAAAGCCGACTCACTCAGTCGACCATCGAATCACCAACTCGCATCGCATCACAATGGCGTCTCCACGATTCGGCCAATCGCTAGAGAGGTTGGGTGAGCCCGTTTCAACCCCTATATCTTCCCGAGCTCCCTCCCCCGCTACCACTCACCCCAGTGGTGTCCCGTCCTCGGCTCGGAGCCACCACCGGCAGACTAATAGCCGCACATCCATTATCTCGGTCTCATCCACACGCAGCTCAGACATTGAGGAACTCCCAGCCTCACAGCCAGCTGTAGGCGATATCTCATGGGTTGCGAGATATCAGGAGGCTGCCGAAATTCCCCTCCTAGACTGCCTGAGGACTGGATTCTCACTCGCGTTGATCAACCCGGCGCTACGATCGACAATGTTCGGTACAGAGGAGATGTGTCTACATTGTATTCTGTGTGTCGCCTTTGATGACAAGAGATCCCTGGTGTTTGAGCGGCCTTTCTGCAAGCCTGGTCCTGGAACGACCTGCCAGCGTTGTGTGGCGGGTAACTTGGCCTGCTTCCGTGCACCACAGGAGACCGCTCGGCGTTCATCTTCGGCCCTCCTAAGGGACGGACTGAAGCGTCGGCCTACTATCTCATACGACGCATGGCAGGAAACCTGCTGTTTGATTGCGCAGAATGCTGGTGTGGAGGAAGTCGCCCTTCGCCGTCAGATGGACTGGGACAATCGAGTCTTCCGGCCACGGGAGAGAGGTGCGGCCATTCAACTAGACTAGTATCCTGGCATATGGAGACAAAGTGTGGTTCCTCGTTCTGTTCTGTGATTCGTTCTGCTTTAACCTCTTCAACTATGGGGAATGTATCTGGACCCTGATGTGTTATACCCTATGCTGGTATATGCTGTGGTCCTGATCTTTGAGTTTTTATTTTTTCTTTAATCCCGGTTTGGCTACCTCGACGTACTTTTACTCGGTGGTTTCTGATTGTCTCTGCTTTATCTAAATGCATATTACCGGTGGTTTGATATTCTATATTGGGTGGTTGTATATCGTATTCTAGTTATTATAGATAATGTAGAATTTGTATATATTACCATTGGGCTTTTAATATTTATACCAATTACTATCCGAATTGACATCTACCTGACTTCGACTTAAAGCCCTAAACCCGATTAACTAGAAATTCTTCTATTTGGAGGGTATGCTACCACTCTAGAATATTGCCCCTCAAGTATAGACCCGTTGTCACCTATCCATCGACCAACCAACATGTACCGACAAAGGAAATCTTATAATATCTTAGCAAAAATAACTCTATCTTCTGCCAGCCGGTATATAACACTGTTTGTACAATAAGGATGGCTCGGTCGGAGTCACATTGGCTCGTGGTGTCGCGACTTATAACTCTGGGAGGAGACAGGTTTTCATATAGTCGATGATGATGGGACTAGCCCCAGTGCCGTGACTTCGTAAAAGTATATCCCAACCGTTGATGAGTCGCAGGATATAGTTGCAGAGATCGGTGTTGCTGTATGCGACATTGAGTGATATAAGATAGTCCATATCGAGTAAGGCCTAGACAGATACAATGTTGTCTAGGGCGTCACATGTATCGACTGTTACCACCCGACGGTCTGTTATGGTCATAACGTTGAAGAGGAATATCAGTTCGCGTGCGAACAGACATACAGCCAGATCGGTTACGTTCGGGTAGGACAGTGGGTCGACGATGGAGAGACGTGCAGTCTGGAGTGCGTCGAGGAAGCGCAGGCGATCCTGTTCTTCGAAGATGACGATATCAGGTGCCGGCGGAAGAGTCCGAGTCCGAGATACATTGTACATGTAGACATTGTCGGATGGGGGGTATGGTGTAGGTGGTAGCATAGTGCGATGCGATGGGATTTGAATTGGGAGGAATTTTATTGAATAAAAGCGCAAAATATGGGGGGTTGGTCTTTCTATTGGGGATGAACTATGCTGGGAGATCAATTGTACTAGCAGGGGTGAATTTTTAGTGGCGCTCTATCTATCGTGGTTTTTTTGTTTGGAACATACTATGCTGGGTGCTTCAATACCAACCCCTATTTACCCAAATTATTGGACGTGAGTGTTCGCCGGAAGGTCACTGTCGGAGTGATTTTGAGATTATCTCGAACTTTAACAATATAACTGCTTCTATGGACTAAGTATATACAATATATGTCGGACTTCCGGTTTTGCGACCGGTGTTGTTGTTTTTGTGAGCTGCATATCGAACTCATTATCAAAGGTAGAGCAGGCTCTGATGGTGGCTAAGAATGTCGGTATACTGATATAAGAGGCTTATGCGGGTCCTCTAATAGGGGATCCGGCTATGCTCCAATCCAATGCTACAGAATCTGTTCTTACTGCTTATGTGTTCCTAGTAGAACCTCATAATCTCTAAGAGAAAATTGCTTAGCTTGGATACTATAGTATAAGATGTTTAATATTGTAGAGAGGCCTATAATTAAATCGATAACTCTGCCTGTATTTTTAAAAATTTCCTAAATTGATATTTTCTAATATTGCTTCTTGCTTCATACAACATACATCATATCGGCAGGTCGTATACGAACAGGTTCGGCTCGCGACGCTATACTTCATAATGATGATGATGATGATGATGATTAATTCACTAACCCGATTTAACTCGCTATTACATACATGCTGCTATGCGGAAGTAGCGTCCCTAGAGCCTCCTCTTCGACGACAAATGATGGTGCATCCCCAGTATACAACCACCCTGTATGCAAGACTCAGTTTTCCCGAGGTGCTGCAACCTGAATTGTAAGGCGACAAACCGGCCGGCATAGTTAACTAGTGCAAACAATACAAAAGAAATTGTAAAGAAAGTCAATTCATCGCAGAGTGCCCCCCTCTCTCTGCAATACAGCTCTCACTTCGGTCACTTCTCTCACTTCGCTTCCCCTGGCCCCCGATTCACCGAGTCCCTGTATCACCAGGACCGCCAGTTATGCATCCTGCATCATACATCATGCCCGCAAGTCGTATACAAACAGGTTCGGATCACGACGCTATGCTTCGTCGTCAGCAATAGCCGATCTCTATGTGTTTTGTTGGCGTGAGGTGATATTGCGAACTTAGGCATATCACAAAAACAGTCCAGATCCCATTGCAATCAGGACAAAGGACTACCAACGATCTTGTCCGAAATGGTCCAAGGCTCTCTCTCTCTTACTATAAGAATCCCTGGGATCTTACTTCTCTCTCTCTCTCCTCTCTCTCTCTCTTCCCTATCTAAGATCTCTACCAACAATCTTGCCCTGATTGCAATGGGATCTGGACTTTTTTGTGAAACTCCGAACTTGGGCATATCACAAAAACAGTCCAGATCCCATTACAATCAGGACAAAGGACCACCAACAATCACGTCCGAAATGGTCATGCGCATATGGTCTTTTTTCGTCAAAGGCTAAGCTGGAAAAGGTCAAAATCCCATTACAATCGCCATAGGAATCCTATTGAAATCGGGATATCGGGACAGACAGGTATCAACAATCAAGACAAAGTACCCCCAACAATCTTGTCCGAAATGGTCCCTTGGGCATGGACTTTTTTTCTGAATGTCCGAACTTCACATACGTGACCTGTTACAGTTTTCAGACTCCTCTGCGATATTACACCTACCTTTATCTTCCATTTAAAATGGAGAGCAAAAAACTGAAGCTAAGGTGGGACGTTCCAATGCGCCAAGCTCTATGCCGGGTTTTCTGATGCAACAAGAAATAGAAAGGGAACTTCTCGATGTTCCGCGACAATCTGAGAAGACGTGGAATTCATCGATTTGTTCCAGGTAAAACGCTCTATATAGTGAAACTGGATGGAATCTAACCAATTGTCGGAGTTTCGATGAACTTCATAAATTGTTGACAAAAATATATTTTAGACTTTGTCGATCTCTTACATGTTGATCGATACCTACACTTTTATATCCGCCCTACTTTCTGACCGCGGTTAAAAACGGATCGTGCTAGGTATGGACAATATGAGATTTATAATAATGGTACAAAAGGCGACGATAATAAAAACAGATCAAATAATTTATATAAAGTCAGAAGCACACGTATAAGAGTCAACGTAATCAGATAACAGTGGCTGGACAAAGGACAGCCTGGATCGTACAACCTGAGTATAACTAAAAGAGAGACATATACTATCTATCAAGTTGAAAAAGAAAAAGAAAATAACCAGAAAAACGCAACATATACCTATCACTTATACCCCCTCTTATCAGTTACCACCCGGCTTGACATGTATACCGCATACCGGGCAGTGCTCGGTAAACTGTGGCATTAGACTATCAAGGCAACGGGGGTGGAACCAGTGGCGGCAGTGCGGACGGAGGGAGACAACCTGATCTCCTAGCTGGACGGCCTTAGCACAAATAATACACTTGAGCTTTCCAGCATTGGTAGCAGCGACAACGCCTTCCATATCCGTAGTAAGTGGCTGCTGGTGTAGGCCGGACCGGATAAGACTCCACCCGGTCAATTGATCACCAGCACCGTCAAGTCCGGGGTTTATATCCGAGCCCTGGCCAGACTCAGATGACGAGATTGCTACATAAGGTGTGACAACTGAATAAGGGCCCTGCCAGTTAGGGGGCTGTGTGACACCTTGTGGAACTGTAGGCCAGTGCAGAAGCACGCCCATACTATATTCCAATTGGGCGTCTACCGCAAGAGTAGGAAGTCCGAGTATCTGAAGCCAGAGGGGATAGACCTCACGGAAGGTCTCGTTTATATCCATAAACGAAAGGGTTGTCTCATAGATCTCGACGAGCCTCCTAAGGAAGGTGACTACGTCGTGATGGAAGCCAGTGTTGTTCGGACCGCCGCTTTGGAAGAAGGTATTCAGGAGCATCCAGAGATCCCGCGTCGCGTTGCTAACCGCTCCAGCTGCGCGGGCTCGGGCCGCTCTGTCTAGAAATGGGTTTTGTGAGTCGCGGTAGAACTCTAATGATTCTCGGAGCCCTGCGAGGAGAGCGTTGCGGACTTCCGGGGTCACAGGCCGGATATTAGGGGCGGCACGTTGACAATCGGCCGCGATAGAAGACAGCTGTGCCCGAAAGCTTCCGACCACCTGGCTATGGTCATTTTCGTCGAGGATCGTGGGATAGTTGTGCTCATTCCAATAATGTTCGATTCGTTCAGATAACTCCCAACGAAGGGTAACACCCAGTCGGTAGAGTACCAGTGAGGTAGTCCTAAGGTGTGGGTTTAGGGCAAGAGCAGCCCATGCGCTAATGAGACTTAGAGCGTGCTCCCGTAGATTGGCTGGGTCATAGGAGTCGCGTACTGCATGGATACGCCGTATATCCGCTACCGTCTCTGCACCCACAATGCGGTTGCGAGCCCTGATTATTGTCTCAAAAAGGTCCCAAAGTTGGGCGATAAGGTTGCTAACCTCGGAAAGCGGGGTATTGGTATTTAGGACGAAAGCGCGGGTGGCTAAGAGTCCTCGACGATACCCAGCATTCCAATCCTGCGGAGGCCCTATAAGATTGGGCTCTTCGGGTATGGATGGGAAGCCGTTAATAAACCCTAGATACCGTGTAGTGATCCGATGGTATTCGTCCCTCCAGGCTGTCGCTCGAGTGAGGCGGGGAAGTACTGGTGGTTGACTTAAAGCGCGTTTGGGAGGCATGATTGGAGTCTTGAAAGCAGGTAGTTAAGAAAATGTAGAGTTAGGAAGAGTTGGCTTAGATACTCCTATAATATATAGGAGGTCGAAACCAATTTGCACTCGAACTTAGGTTTACAAGCTGGCGCTATATTGCTTTGTATACTATTCTATGCTTTATTGAAGTACTGGGTAGAGTTTCTTTAAGTGTGGAATACCGCGAGTAGTATTCTTAGGATACTAGACTAGTTTCTAATTTAACTTGTACATTGGTATGTTTCATTTTCTTTAAAGGACGAAATAAATAGCAAATGGTTCTAAGGTCCTTGAGACTAGGAGGCTTCTATTTTGGTCTACTCTTAGAAGTTCAATCCTTGAAATAACATGGTGGACAAAGACCCGGGCTAGGAATGGTGTAAAGGTGCCAATTGGCTTTGGGTTTAAGGATAGATATGGTTTGCACCACGAGTTTCATTGTTACTGTTCATGGTTGCAACGGGGAAGACTTTACTTCTTTGATATTGCATCGTCTTGGTCTAAATCCCTAGCCAGCTTTCGATTACTTATTGGGTTGTAACTATATCCTGATACTCAATACGATCTTTATGATTGGTTGAGGTATGATTGTTTGTTATATAGTATAGATGATAAACTATGTGTATGAAGGATTACTCTGCTTAGGGGCTTACGTCCAAAGAAACTTGCGGTTTTATCTTTTTTTAGTCTTTTCACGAAAATAACCTGGCTAGGCTTAGGTATGGCCCGATGGCTATACACCCAAAGAAACTCGGATTGTTGTCTTTGTTTGGCTTTCTCGCGAAAATAAACCTGGCTGCAACATGGCATGGCTTGGTGGCTTTACGTCCAAAGAAACTCGCATTCCAGCTTTTTTTAGTTTTGCACGAAAGAAATCTCGACTGTAGTATAGTAGCGCTCAATAGCGATCAATCAATCAAAGTGCAATTAACCTGTTACAGTCTAGCCAGTTACGTATGACTATGCATGCGCTTCTTCTAACCGAAGCAAGAATACGAAACCAAGCCCTGAACTGGAGGCGCTTAGTGCGTCTATATAGGTGCCGAAGCAAGTGGTCTTACTGCTAGTGCTTAATATATAGAAGTTGATAAACTTACAGACTTAAGTTGGAGAGAGAATGAAAAAATTGACATTTAGCAAACGATTTTAAAATCCGGCCTAAAAATCAACCTTATGGGTGGAGCTGCTGCAGTATATGCCGCTGCCCGATCCATTATGTTCTGGGGTTCTACTCGCCAAGCCTAAGAACTGTTCGTCCAATTAGGTAGCCTAGAGTTATTACCCGGTCCACGTGCGGTCCCGGTCGTAACGGTAGCCCCGATAAAAAGATCTAGAGTTTTATGCTTAACAGTACCTGTCTTAAACCTTGTTTGCTTATATGGAGATGTTGGTATTAGGCTTTAAGGCTAATTAACTACCTGGAATGATTATCACCCGACTTTGGCTTATGGTTATGTATTACCAAGGTGCTGCAATTATTTTGTTCGGAGAATACTAGTATTATATTACAAGGCCTGTCAAATATGCTGATTGTCAACCTGCTAACCCACAACTCTAACATGTCCTTGAAGATATCAAAAAAAAAAAGACTCCTATACTATGCGACCGGGCGTATATCACTGTTTGTGGAAAGGGGTTACCACTGTGAACTTCGCCTTGCGGCCTTGCCTTAAGACGTACAGCGGTGGGAGGAGACAGAGTTTTATGGTGTGGATGATGGGAGGAACGGCCCCAAAGTCGGGACTGATTAGAAGGCACGTCCAACCGTGGATGAGTCGGCCAGCATCCTCGCGGAGATTGGCGAAATCCAAGGAAGCATGGAGAGATGCAATGTCATCTAGTGCATCGAGAACATCCATTGTGACTAGGCGAAGGTTCGAGTGGGTCATAAGGTCGAAAAGGAATGTGAATTCATTGATGTATCTGTGTATGACATCGTCGGTAACGTAGGGGTGGGACTCGGGGTCTATGATGATGAGGTCCGCATCCTCGAGTGCGTCAAGAAGGGGTTTGCGATCATATTCGTCGATAATAACGATTCCAGATGCCTGTGAGAGGGTTCTGGCTCGAATGACACTGGCTATGGCGGAACGGGTGTATAGAGGGTATACTGTAGCTAGTTGTATAGTGCGGATGCTGAGGGATTTGAGTTGGGAGGAATTGAACAAATTGTAAGTGGTGTGTGTAGGGGATTCAGTTTACTGTTAGGAATGAACTGTATTAGTAGATTAATTGTGCTGGTCCAGCTGAACTTTTGGTGGCGTACTGGCTATTATATTTTCTTTGTTTGGGCTGTGTAGTTGGCTCTTGCTACATTCGGTGCTTCTAAGTTTCGGTACGGTGTCCTATTTGCCGAAATGTTTGGGTGTGGAAGTAGATCAATTTTGGATAGGTCTCGAGCGAGTAGGTGACTACATTTGTGGACTAGTAGATTATATGTTATACTATAGTAGCTTTCGAACTGGGATAGTTGTCTTAACGCTCCCTGCTCTGTATAGTGTAGATTTGAGAGCAGCCGGATTGCTTCCTGTTCGTTCGGTGTCGATATTCCTTGATCCTTCCAGTCGAAGGTCATGGTTGGTTTATACCCCCTCTCTAGCCCTCTGGCCGGGAAGGGGCCGCAGAAGCGGAGGTATGATAGAAGAAGAAAGGTTGGTTTGTGATCGGTATTTATCAATTTAATTAAAAGTCTGTTTAGATGTATGATACAGCAAGATATATAATGCATATACCAATGTGGTTGTACTTGATATACCGGCACTTTGTAATAGAACCAGGAATCTCTGACTTTTGTAATCACTAGCAATTCACTTCGGCCTCACTTGACTGTGGTGTTCATATAATACTGAGTACAAAAAATTCTATATCTATTAGTTGTATGCATTAAGGAATAGAAGGTCAACATGCGTGCTGCGGCGGGTATTATCCACCGTGACGATAAGGTCTTATCTATCCGGCTGCCATAGTCGCAACTCCACCACCCCAGCAAAAAACGTCTAGATTTTCATTTATGATTCAAAGCCTTTCTACCTGGGTTCAGTATTAATGAAGCTCACAGTGGACAGTTTATATACACGTTTAGAACTTCTGAAATTTTTATATCGATCTGACGCGGTTTACAGGTAGGACCCAGGGTAGGAAAATAGCCACTTGGCTGTCTTAGTTTGTATCAACTCCCTAAAGTTTCCCATAGTAAAGGTGACCAATAAGGCATACGCTGTATTCTACACTTTCTACCTGGGTGCTATCTCTATGATTTCTACAGTATATCCTAATTCTTACTATAAAGGTGCTAGCAAAGTTACAGAGGAATTTGATCAAGTTTGGGGTAACTATTCAGGTTTTGCATTAAAGTGCTGTGGTTGGTCGGCCGCTCTCTGTCGGTCGGGTAGTCTCCACCATCGCAACCACATCAAAACTATCTCCATATTTAATAATATACTATATCATACCTACCTGGGTTAAAGTGTTGCTACCTCGATACCAGATATATAACTATACTCTCTATAATCTGTAAAAATTGGAAAGTTGTTAGACCTCATAATAGGTCGTAACCCAGGGTAGAACGCTCTGGTCCAACCATTTGCTTTTCGCCCCACATACGCTAGCACCGTTCTGGATAATAACTTCAGCCATGGATTGCTCACCGTCCTACCTGGGTTCCGATCTTGAAATTTGGAGGACACCTAGAGAGCAGGGTTAAATATCGTCTGGCCAAGTTTCATGAACATCGAAGCTAAGCTGCGGAGTGAACCCAGCCTTGTCATTTTGCATGAATGGGAGGGTATCCACATTTGCGGGAACCAACCAGATCTAATTAAAACCGGTAAGTAATGTATTGAAACCCGCACTCAGGCTCGGTCGTCCACCCCCCCATGGGATAGAAAAGAAGGTTCGTCGTATATCATTGTCGACCAAGTGCCCAAGAATTTCTCCGTAGAGAAGACGAAATACAAAGCCCGGGCTCAGGAATACTTCCGACTGAAGTATAAATTCTCTAAGGAAGATTTACACTTGGACAAGGAGTCTGAAATGGATGATCGTGCTCTACAGACAACTTTGGATTTTATCGAGAGAGGCACTGCAGAGCTTGGAGTGGTATAGTCGCTTTGCCAAATACCCCATTGATCACTGACGCTAACTGTGCTGACAGGGCACTATCTCTTACACTGCATCTAATCACTGGAGGAGCATGCTGATGTCCGCTGCTGAGGTGAACCGAGCAGCTGAGGACTTTGCGCGATCCAATTGCCTCTGCTACTTTTCAGGCGTCCGTATTTGGGATAGACTCACGGCTCGTGGCTCCTGATAAATGGTGCGGTCCTAACACGCAAAGCCTTGGTCCACAAGTCACCCACAGGCATAGCGAAAGCATCTGGTCGACCGCCCTGATCAGAATAAACCGTAGAAGGATAAACGCCAGCAACCCCTACGCCACCATTGACTGACGTGACCTCGATCATATTGCACAGAACGATATCACTTTCCGGCGACAGAGACGCATTGACTGCTTCATATCCAACACAGTCCACACTGCATTTCCCACCTCCAGGCTCATGGCCAAAATTTGTTGCACCGGGTCCGACTCATTGAAAGCAATGGGTACAGCGCCGATCGAGGCGGCAAGGGAAAGACGCGCGGGAACACTGTCAACTGAATACACACTAGAAGCTCCGCGAAGTATAGTAGAGTAGGCTGAGAGTAATCCAACAGGACCAGCACCGAAAATTGCCTGCTAAGCAGTGGGAAAGATTTCAGGTTAGAAAAGATAATCCAGTAGTCGGTCAGAGGTGTTGCTGCTCGGCACTGGGATCAGGCCATTGTTGGCGAAAGGCATGCGCACGTACTCGGCTGTTCAAAGTGGAAATATTAGCAACTGGGATCAGGAGGTAGTATGCTGCACGTACCTTGGCAACACCAAGTTGGGCAGAGCCATATGTGGTGTACGTTTCCGGTTCAGGTAGCAGGTGGCCGTCATCTATGCGGTCCGGAATGACAACGCTATTGCCGACAGATAGGAAGTTGACACCAGAGCTAATTTCGGAGATCATGCCCATTACTTCGTGGCCTACAACAATAGGGTCTGAGGGGGCCTGGGGGACTCTGGTACCGCGATAGATATGAAAGTCACTACCACAGAGGGCAGAGGCTGTGACGCGCACAATGGCATCGGTCGACTCTTGAATTGTTGGAACTGACATGTCTCCAACGGACCTCTCAAATGGGATCCCGCTGAACAATAGTGCACGCATGGTTCTTGCCAAAGCCATTTTGAGACGATATTCTTTGTTGTCGAGGTACGAGGGGTAATTTTGAAATGGGACGGATTGAAAGTACCGAGGTAAACTTCTTGATATATATAATGTTGGTTTTAGCTCTCGGGAGTTACGTGTATGGTTGCTTGAGAGGTCTCCTCTGGCACTTGGCGGGCATACTGTGCCCTGTTTTTATTTCAGATACCACACCGGCAATGCGCGTGAAAGAGGCCATGACAATCGATACGAAATGTAGCTGAAGCCAAGAAATATTGATGAGGAATCCGCCGATCCCGAGACCTTTAGACCGAATCTCGAACCAAATGAGAAGGATCATCATTGCAGAAGAGGAAGAAACCCGCCAACAAACTGATAAATGCTTGGTGGCCTACAATAGTTTAATGAAAGCTATGCGTAAAGCTAGGATAGCTTAGTATCTACTCCGTAGAGCACTGGGATTAAACTTTAGAGGATTGGAAGAATGTGATTTAGACTGATAAAACCTCTAGGGCTAATTATATACTAGCGTCAAAATAATGAGACAGAATTTCTAGGATCGACCTCCGTACCCGGGGGAAGATCCCACTCGGCGTTTAGCTTCGAGCTCTTGCTTCAGTTGGAAAAGCGGCAGCATAGTCATACGCAACTAGTTAGACTGCAACTGGTTAATTGAACGTTGATTGGTGGATTGATTGATTGATTTGTCTGTTGCCTGTTTACTTTTCAAAACCCTCTTGGTTGTCGTTTATTTTATCGGCAGAGGACCCATTAATGCTCATATTTCCACTCCATTCCTCGTGGCTGCACCAATGTCAAGCTACGCGTGATAAATCACCTGTTTGGGCATGAGTAGGCTCCACCTCTTCGAGTTTTTCGTCTGTGCCCACCAAATCCTCCTCTATATCAACATGATCCTTAATTTTGAACCAGATCATGGGGGCAGCACAGATCACGGAGCCAGCCAAAAGACCCCAATTACTAGCAAATTCGGCCATATACGCCGGGTGCGTTGAGTCCCATGCCCACATGACACCAGCGCCGGCAGACTGGATACCTTTGTAGAAGCCGACATAGTTGGCACTCTTTCGACTGGAGTTGCTGAGCGTTCCAATATACCTAAATGTATTGTTTTCGGTTAGATTTCCAAGTTTTGATGGAAATGATGCTGAGAAGACGAAGAGGGGGGCACATACCAGTACACTGCACCCTGCCAGACAACATCATAGAATCCATAAGAGAAGTACAAGAACATCGGTCCCCCATAACCTGGATCACTCCAGTCCGTATTGATTGATGGTTTAGCGCCACCTAGGGGGCGAGTGTATTGTTTCTGGAACACATAGCCGCCACCATGAATGATCATCGTCAGACCGAAGAGAATGACAAGCATTCCCCTAGCGCGGATAGTGCGGCGGAAGTAGTTTAGATCCAATGTACTAATAAAGCAAGCTCCGAGGATGTGAGCAATGTAGTAGAGGAAAGTGTTCAATGCCTTGGTGCGAGTGTTGAAGTAAGCACTGTTGACGGAGTTGGTCTGGTAGGAGATAAACCAGTTGGACGACCAGAACATAGGGAAAAGGAGCAAGACGGCGGGTTCACCGCGGAGGGTTGTCCAGAGGCCGACAAACTCGGACTTCCAACTAGGGTTCTTCATCAGAACGACTCTCGACCCATCCGACCGGACAACCTTCTTTGCATCAGAGACGAAGAGCCCAATAACGGAGCCCAAGAATGTCAGAACGACAAAAACGATGTACGTGCTGTCTGGCACGTTGACATTGGTCTTCGCATTAATGCTGTTGGCAAGCACAATCTGCCACAGACACTGCGATTAGTCTCTTCCATGGAAGTGCCTAGATGCGCAAGTGAAGGAGAGAGGATATTCAAAGATGACGTACTAGACTCCCAACGCATGATCCAACGTTGAAGATTGACCAAAATAAAGTGAAAAAGCGTCCCTTTTGTTGCTCCAATGGGTATGACACCATGATTGTGCCTTGAGCCGTCCATAGCAGGCTCGAGCAGACGCCAAGCAAGAAGCCGGCAAAGATGTTGAAACCGGGAACGTGTTTGTGTAACGAGGTGAGCAAGCTGACAACATATATACAATAACCTATCCCTCCACAGGCAAGCGTGAGCCGCACACCAAGTCGGTTCACAATCGTACCTGAAAAGAAACTAGTGAATGCAGAGGTAACATATAGAGCAGTGTTCTATGTGATTGACGGTTAGTATGACTGTAGTTCAATAACACAGATAACGTGCAACTCTTTACCATTTTGTCCACTAGTGTTGCATCTGTCATTCCACCTCCTCCCATGCCGCTCAGAGCATTGAACATGCCAGGGCAAAGAAAGCAGATGAGCGCAACTAAAACCAGTTGGAATAAAGGTGAGGCATACCAGCCGAGGAATTTGGAGTAGACCGTAATATGCGGTGAGACTTCGCTAGCGGCGCGATCGAAAGGCTCCGACTCGGTCGCAAGCTCTTTCGTGGTCTCAGCAGCCATCCTATTAATAGGGTTCTCCTTGGATGCCATGGCGAGGAGAAAATCCTGTGTGTAGGTCGAGTTCAGGGTGGTGTCGGTAGAAGTAAAAGCGAGAAGAAAGAGCTTGACATTTCTTTTATTTCTTTTTCTCGGTGGAGGGATCTACATTTATGTCGATATTAGCTTTGCATCATAGAGTGTTATCAATTTGATGTTACACTGGCGCACACGACCTCTAACCGCTCAGAAGGGTCAGAAGTACGGGGAGGGATTGTGACATGGCGTCATAAATAATTATTATGGCAACACTGTTATCATCTAGCACGTGCTATACTATATATTAATATATGTTTCTTATCGTGTTGTGGGGTAGTCAAGGCTGCACACAAACCAGGTTTCATGTAGACAGAGAAAGAGGGCAAAGGTTGATTGTGATTGTTACTCTGAGACTTCTGGCATTCTAGAAGAATTTCTTATGGTCTTGGAGTTGATCCGTAGCTGTATAATCGCTTTGCGAGTCGGGCATATGCAATTTTGAAGAGAAAAGAAAAGATAAGAAAAGCAAAGAAAAGCAAAAAAAAGAAAGAAAATTTCCTAATGGGGTAATGCCGGCCGACTGCCGCACAAGGTTAAATAAAGTTCTCGCGTGCATGAGATCGGGAAGCTATGCCAGGATGCGGGGATTGGTCGAGGTACCTAAGCTACACTTAAAATCAATGACACTTGGTGGCATATCGCGTATTTCGGTCTATGGATTGGCAATTATGATCAAATGAGGTTGACAGGAGTAGATACACTAATCATCTTCAATCTAGACATATCATCTTCAATTGTAACCATACCAAACACTAATGTAACGCCAGCTCAATATTTACCGTACATTGCTTGCAATATATGATTACGCGAGAGGCTCCTCCGTGAGAAACTTGGCCTGTTGTAAGACGCTATGGACGGCTAAATGTTGCCGGGGTCGTGCGGCGGATAGAATCCGTGTGTCGGACTTTCGACCGTGATTCACTTTGTGAAATACGGATAGAGTCTCTGTGGCGGAATTGCTTGATGAAAATATTTCAATCAATTGCGCAATATCATCGAGGATTGGTTGTACCAAGGCTAGTCCGTGGAAAAATCGCTTGATAGCTGCCAGGCATAGCTCCGCTCGACTTACCGCGAATTCAAGGCTAAGAAGATCTGGCTCAGTCGATGAATGAGCGATAAAGAGAATCAATCGAATAGCGTGATAAACGCATACCCCCGTAGCAAATTCAAGTAGCCGGGCCTTGGTACAGCTTTGATTCAAGTCGCAAAACAAATTGATGACCGACAGTGCATGTTCAATACAGGTTCTGGTGGCGATCTGTATAAACTGCGCATCGATAGTACTTAGAACCACGGACGGCGGAGCTTCAGGGTACCCAGGGAGGAAAATACGATAGAGATCAAAGTAGCAGCCATGCCATAAGCTAACCATCATAATATGACGGGGTAGCCACGGACTTTCAATCAAATTCGTCAGGTCCGTGGTCTTGAGACCTGCTTGATTTGGCATTTCGGCTTTGAGTTCACAGAGCATCTCCTCGAGGCCCGCAGTCACGTCTTTGAGATGTAAGTAAGGCTCGCTGCAAACAGCAAGCTCCCGTGTCAATTTCATAATGTCCCTGCGGATAGAGGCCAAACGAATACACATATTTAGTGACCCCAGCTCATTCTGATCTCTCAACGCGTAGATGGCAAAATCTTCAGAGCCGGGTGGACATAGCAAACCAAAGAACTCTTCCGATGACGGAGGGTGTAAGTAAATGCACTCAAAGGGGCAGACTTCAAATTCCGTCAGCCCGATAGAAAAATATGACTCAAGCAACTTGAAGCACCATACTGTCCGGCGCCTGGTCTCCTCCAAAATCGGATCCAAGTGTGTTTGCTCATGATTAAGACCCATGGCAGATGCCGCGCGGGCGGCTATAGCAGTCAACATGAATGCCTTTTCATAGCTCCCTGTTGCCATTCGATAGCTGATCGTCAGCAAAAGGGCTTGCAAACGAGGCATTGATGGATTCTCCAGGCATTTCCAAATGGTCTCTTCTGCGTTCGACACCCATATGGCACTTTTCTCCCGGTCGACGTGCATATTGTGTACGGGCCTGTGCAAAGAGGTCAAGGCACAAATGGCGAGAATGAGTGGTCGCTCCAGTGTTCCTCCGTTACATTTTGCTAAGGTCGTGGAAGGATGCAAAAATGCATAAGAAGGAACTGGATAAAGATACTCGAAGAAGTTTCGGACCAGTTCTGTCGCTTCACTATGTGATGGATCTTCCTGGGCGTTTTCTTTGTTTAGATTGGGTGGCAGTAAGCCGTATCTAACAGACATTGAATCGTTTTCCGAAAATGCAGCATCAGGGTCTCGAGATCCCAGCGGTGGAGCACTCCGTAGATCTTCTTCCCCATGTTCCACATGTTCCACATGTTCCCCATGTCCCCCGAAATTTCTGTTGCGTCGCTGGGCCCCCGTCGATGCAGGATATGAACAAGGCCTGTCATATTTGATACAGTTCGCACAACTTGGGTGTGTGTTGGAGCAGCGGATCTTCCGCATGCGACATTGTGAACAGGAACTCCGCCCTCGTAGCCGCTCGGGTCTTTCGGCAGTGCTTGGACCGGATCGCACACTAGCGACTCGAAGCGATTCACCTGGCTGGGTAAACGAACATTGGAAGCCCAGGCGCTCACAGTTGCGACAAGTAGAGAGTCTGCCATCACAGCCAACCTGATAATCCGTCAGTAATTGAGTTCGGTTTGACCTGAATTGTATCGGGGAATACCTTGCGAGCTCGGCACTGCTGGCAGACCTGTTTCGCTCGAGGGTTTGGCGATTTGAAAACCGACAAATAAGGTAGCATCGTTGGATCGGCAGTCGGCATTGTGCAAGTCACCTAGATCATAATAAAGTCCTGATCAGAGTCCCCATACTGTTGAGGTGGTAGAGTAACATTCCGATAGTGTCACTTCATTTGAGTGGACGAGCACATGGCGGGTGGGGGTGACTAATCCAAGTCGAGGCAGACTGACCGACATCCGCGTCTTCTTCCAATGAACTTCCGACAGCCGTTTGGTCCGGGGAAACCCCTTCGAAAGACCAGGGTCTTATCATGTAGCATTGAACTTTGAGGAGATTGTGTTCCCTCTAAAGCACAATCCTTGGCTAATAAGACACAATGTCCAGCCATCCGTTTCAAAGATTGCGAGCGCATCGTTAACAATTTCGTCTTTCCTACGCACCGTCCCCTTCCAGCCTCTGAACCTTGACCTATTGTTTGCATCCGCTGACGCGCTGACACTAAAGCCCAGCATGGCCGCTGATGCAGAGTCCACGCGACCCAACATTATCTTCATTATGGCCGATGACCACGCCTCCAAGGCCATATCCTGCTACGGAGCTGCAATCAACCAAACCCCAAACCTCGACCGGATCGCCAATGAGGGGATGCGCTTTGATCACTGTTATGTCACCAACAGTATTTGCACGCCATCGCGAGCAGCCATCTTGACCGGCACGCACAACCATGTAAATGGCGTGATGTCCCTCCATTCGAAAATCCAACGGCACACTCCGAACGTCGCGAAACAGCTCCGAGGGGGTGGCTACCAAACCGCCATGATTGGCAAGTGGCACTTGGGGGAGGGGAAATTACATGAGCCCACGGGATTTGATTTTTGGTCCATCCTCCCGGGGCAAGGCGAATATCATGACCCCGAGTTCATTGGTCCCGATGGTACACATGTCGTGGAAGGATACGCTACGGACATCATTACAGATATGACTCTCGATTTCATCAAACGTCGAGACCACTCCAAACCGTTTTTCGTCATGTGCCACCACAAGGCGCCGCATCGGAGTTGGGAATATCAGGAGAAGCACAAAGATCTATACCAAGATCCCATCCAGCTACCTGATACCTTCTCGGATGACTACAAAAACCGAGCAAAGGCTGCCGCAATCGCTAAAATGCGGGTTTCGGAAGACCTGTCATACAAAGACCTTGGTCTCGCGCAGCCTGACGGTGATCGAAGAAAGGTCGGAGAGAAGATGGCTGGTGGTATGCGGAAGGTTCCCTCCCCTCCGACGGACGAGGAAGTTCGAAAGCTGAGGCTCATTGACAATGAGGACGGCACCGTCTTCCGCTTTGAATCCAAAAAGGAACTGGCCGAATTCAAGTTCCAGCGTTACATGCAACGATATCTCCGTACCGTTCAGAGCATTGATGAAAATGTTGGCCGAATCTTCGAACTGCTCGATTCGGATTCTGAGTTAGCAGATAACACAATTGTCGTCTATACATCAGACCAAGGATTCTTTCTTGGTGAACATGGATGGTTTGACAAGCGGTTCATTTACGAAGAAAGTTTCCAAATGCCGTTGATGGTTCGATATCCCAAAGAAATCAAAGCTGGCACCGTTTGCAGTGACATTGTCTGCAATGTGGATTTTGCGCCCACATTTTTGGATTTCGCCGGCATCACCACGCCAACCTACATGCAGGGCCGAACGTTCCGCTCAATTTTGGGGGAAATGCCCCGCGGATTGGGATCAGCTGGCTTATCATAGATATTGGATGCATAATGACGCCGAACACGAAGCTTATGCCCACTACGGAGTGCGCAATCATCGGTACAAGTTGATTTATTGGTACAATGACGATCTGCTCGTCGATGGAGCGCGGCCAGGAGGCGAGGATTGTCGTGAATGGGAGTTATTTGACTGTCAGGAGGACCCGCTCGAGTTGTTCAATTGCTATGCGGATCCGAAGTATGGGGAGGTCGTGATCGAAATGACAAGGTTGCTTGAGAAGAAGATGATGGAAATTGGCGATGAACCGGCCCATGAGAAACTTGCAGTTCAATAGATTACTACCTACTGTACTTTATTTGCTATATCGCAATCATTTGGCGGACATTCTATCTGCTAGGTCCAATTTGCCCATCTTCCTCCGTGTTCGAGATACGACCATGTGTCGATCGAGTCAAGTCCCACCAAAAACCGATCACCGGTCGCTCCAATGAGTCATGATTCCTGCTATAGCAGTATTTCTCGCTGAGACGAGTGCAAGTTGAACAAACGGCGTTAGGGCTTATGTCGTATTGTCTCTATGTCAGTGATGCTGTATTCATACGGATCAAATCTATACGGCAGATTTTACAAGCCTAATGCGGTCTGCTCCCGTATTAACGCCGGAATTTATTGAAGACATTATAGAACGATATCCCTACATTTACCACTACATGCTAATTCCGCACAGAAATCAATATCCATGGCAGTGGTTGAGTCCGCGGAGCTCCGGCGGGCTGGTCAAAGTTCCTTTTTCTCGCGTTTTTCCTCGTCTCGGTGGGTCCTGAGGAGACCCCCGACAGTGTTTTGGAAGAACAAAGGAGCGCTCTCGAGGTATCCGATCAAACACCGATGAACTTCTAGGAAATTAAATCCCCCTTTTTATCCCTACTCTACTCCGTACTCCGTACTATTTATTGATTCCGGGTCTCCGAATTAGTTTCGCCACTTGATTTTCGTTGGTTGTTATATCTTGGTCAGACCCACTATCATCCACCTAGTGGACATTGTAATTTACAAGAACTCTCAAAGAATGCTAGGCGATGGTCTGGCGGTTTTGTCAGTGCACTGATGCCCTAGGCACAATGGATAGATACATACTTATGTAGGTACTCCGTACGCCGTACTCCGTAGATACCGATCTTATACTTGAAATACCAGAAACAAAATCCTGTCACAGTTTAATAAGCTCAAAAGGTTCACTATGAAAAACTTGCGTGGCAAATCCAGGTCATCAAGACCCGATAACTATGCACACCCATACAGAGTATAATTCGAAATTTAATTAGGTGGATTTACTGGAAGTTGCTGTTTGTGTTTTGCTGATTTGCTAATTTTCAAATGAGACACCTTGGAAGGTTTATACCGAGATATTAGGTCTTTATGCAGCAACTCCATTATAAAATAAGGGACACCTGAAGATTCCCGTGCCACCAATCTTGGAATTGGAACACAGCTAACGGATATGGCCCAAGAACTTTCTCAATATTGGTGTTATCCTGCAGACATCAACGGATTGTAATTGCGCAGGCCTTCTTAATCATGTTTATACAGAGTAGCAACCACGAAATGGACCTTGGATCAGATCTCCCCCACAGTGTTTTAGCTCTTTTACCGAACTATCCTGCCGAGATTTCTGCGATGGGTTGGGATGGGCTTGCCATGGGACCGCAACTTTGCTGACAGCTCATGTACTCAGCAGATTTGCCAACTTATAGGCCCACACTTAATAAATCCAAGCATTGAAACGGGTATGACGGCACGCTTGAGACCAGATACTTCAATGAGGCGAAGCTTTTGCGGAGCCCACTCAGTGGATCAGGACAGGAACTGCCAAATGCCGTCAACCAATCGCCTACTCCACCAACCCATATCGTGCACGCCAATTGAAGTGTTCAATGAAGATCTTTGTGCCATCGCGTAACTGGTTCAATTGGAGGGTTCCACTTGAGAAGGAATTTCCAGGTTTTTTGGTTTTTGTTTTTTTGGATAATGAATGGCTCAATTTTTCCCTCTTACTTGAACCCTTCCCTTTTTGTGCTTCACTTTTTTAGTTCGCTGCCTGTTTCTTGGCCGGAATACCTGGACCCTTCTCAACTTGGCCAATCATCCGGCTAGATCCCTTTCAAATAAGACGTAGTCATTATGGATGGGGAGGGTAGCCGTGCGAGGGCGACAGTGAGTCTAAGCCTGTTCACGGAAAGTTAACATCTAACCGTCTCATATCTTATAGTCTGATACTCAGTCCCCATACTCACCGGGCCAGGACCCAGATGCCAGCGATACGGACTATATTTCACCCACGAGAGCCATCGGTGCCAATGAGAGCAGTGGTGCGCGACGACGTAGCTCGGTCACTTCAAGACGCAGTGATGAGAGCAGAGTGCCCAGCTTGGCTCCCCGCACTACCCTTGCGCAGCGTACCCAAGGCAGGTTCACCCTAGCTGGACCGGATGAAACGCCCCAGCTGCGTTTGGCTCAGGAGCCCTTTGTCCAACCGGGCTATGCGGATCTGAATCCATCTTATGAACAGCCGTCCAATGCCAGACCAGTCTGGTCTCTAGCCAAGCCATTGCCCCGTGTGGTGCGGTCGGGAATGGTACCGACCAAGCAAGAACTCTTGCAGAACCTAGCAAATGCACAGCGTCCCACGGAGAACTCGGACAAACTCAACCTCGACGTCGACGCCAATGATATCGAGCAGGGTCGCATTGATAAGACGGTGGACCCTCGGAAGATGAACGCGCAGGTCGACGATGCTCGCTTGCAGCGTGAGACCAATTTTATGAATAAGTTGCTCTCCGGTGATGGGAACTCCCTTAGACAGACCTCCCGCATGTCACGTACCTCGTCAGTCCGGCGAAGACGACCTACAGCCGGGGATATGCCCCAAGACCAACTGTCGATTGTACAGGAGGGAGACTCCCTAGTCGACGAGGAACCGGGGGAGCAGCCAGAGGTCGGTAATGGCCCGCTGGAAGATCAATACCTAGGTACAAGGCTAGAACAAATTTTGAGTGCCCATGAACTAGAAAAGTCAGGGTACGCCGAGGATCTGCACCCGCTCGTGCAGGATCTGATCGAGGATGAAGTGCATAACAACCACACCGTCTGGTCTGTTATCCGTACACACCACCGTGAGGCTTTCGCCGAGGCCCTAGGGGTGTTTGTGCAGCTCACCTTGGGTTTCTGTATCGATTTGTCTGTCACTGTCGCCAACCAGGGTAACCCTAACACAACCTCCTGGGCGTGGGGCCTAGCGACTATGATGGGCATCTATATTTGTGGTGGTGTTTCTGGTGCTCACCTGAATCCCGTTGTTACTCTGGTACTATGGTTCTACCGTGGTTTCCCTAAGCGCAAGATGCCGGAGTACTTCGCTGCCCAGTTCTTAGCCGCCTTTTTAGCCGGTCTTGCTGCGTATGGTATCTACTATCAATCCATTCAGAACTATCTCCGCCTTAACGCAGACACCGGTATCATCAATAGCTTCGTGACCAATTCACGTGAGGCGTGGATTGGTCCTGCGACGGCGTTCTTTAACGAGTTTATGGGTACAGCATTTTTGATCATCACCGTTCTGGCTCTTGGTGACGATCAGAACGCCCCACCGGGTGCTGGTATGAATTCGCTGATCATTGGGTTGGTCATTACTTGTCTGTGTATGTGCTTTGGCTACCAAACCGGAGCTGCATTCAGCCCGAGTCGTGATTTTGGTCCTCGGCTTGCGCTTCTAGCTGTGGGTTTCCCCAACACCTTGTTCACTGACCCATACTGGTTCTATGGGCCTTGGGCTGGGGCTCTAAGCGGTGGGTTTATTGGTGCTTTCCTATATGATTTCTTCATCTTCACCGGTGGTGAATCCCCCATCAACTACCCTCTCGAGCGCACCCAGCGCGCAATGACCAAGAGTGGAATGAAGTGGAAGCGTCGACTGCATCTGAATTAAGACTGCGGTTCCAAGCTCTAGTGTTCAATATTCTGTTTTTTTTTTCCCTACAAAGCTTGAGCGTGTTTGGTTGGATCCTTCTTGAATTTTGTATTTTGTACGTGATGCATATGCATTCAGGCTTAGCATGCTCGCATTCAGGTTGACAGACCTCTCTTTGCCACTATGTGGCCTTCAGACCTTTGTTTCTTTGTCCCTTTCCCCTCATGGAGCAATTTAAGGGATCTTCATGGCAGTGGTTAGATCAAGATTAGCAATTATAATCACACCTGTTGGTCACCTTTCGTTTCTTAGACGTAGACCACATGCGTCCATCATGAAGACATTGGTGCCTTGGTCCCTTGGTGTCTTGGGAGATTGTGAATACATCTACTCAAATAGATTGATGGTATCCAAAATCCAAAGCCTAAATCAAACCTTTGTCAGGTAGCGTACAATCCAAGTACTCTCATATTTCAAAGATACGCGGACAAGGTAACCTTCATTGGCATATGTCCTACATATCCAAGCTTCCAAATAGATCTAGCACAAATCCCCTCACATAATGCGCAATACTATTGTGATGTGAGGCTAGTGCAGATCAAGAACAAACCCGTCGGAAATCATCGATGCACAATCTATGGAAATAATGTGTATATTGTGGATTTACAAAGCGATGGATAAAGTTGGTTGGTAAATTCACAAGATACGTATTAATATTCTTAAGGTCACAGTATAAGTACAAGATGGCAACGGGGTTTTTGAGCAAGCTTATCACGGAAAACCGTCTCTGTGTGCAATCTAACACGAATATCGACCACGGACGGGAATGATGATTAATTTGCTGTCATTTATATTAATAAAGGGAATATTAGGGCTAGCCATGCTATTCACGCAATCAATAGCTGGCTGGGTATCTCCTCCTCGAGCTCCAACCGTATATTTCTCCCATAAGAGGGAATGCAATTCATCAAACCGTGCGTTCACCTCTCACAAATTGTGTTTCTGTTAAAGATGTGATTGACATTATATCTAGTTAACGGTGCCCCCTAGTGGTCCACATGGTCTACTTGAGGCTGTCCTCGGTGTATTTGATTTTTTAATAGCATAAAGCACTTCGTCTGGAAAGCTTGTTAGACTTTATAGAAGAAATGAAACGAATAAAAGGAGAACTTAGGATTTTCGGAAAAGTAAGGCGCCGGGATATCTAGCGGCCTGTCAGATTTATTCGACTATTCAAACTGAAGATTATTAATAATATTTGTGTGTAGCTGACCTTCTCCATTATGCTGTGCAATGGCCGAGGCAAAGATGAGCCAAGTCTCCCGTTTGAATATGAAAAGAAATGGGTTCAACGAAGATGGCAACATTAAGTTTAAAATATTCCACTCATGTTTCGAAAGATTACAGGTGATATTGACGAGGGTTCTCAACCGAGATACCCAGCCTCTCCCACATAGCTTCCACATTCATATCCTCTCGGCCACTGGCGAACATGTTAGCTTCTACTGAGGTGGTGCAAGAAAATAAGGAACTCACTCATCCTTTAGATTGATCCAAGGCTCTGTCTGACCCTCTGCGGTATTGGGGTTGCGGAAAATCACGTTGTGTTTCTGAAAAAACAGCGGTTAGCCCAGTCAAATCTCGACGAGGTTCCATAAAGGCGTGGTTGACTTACCATCCCAAGTGTCAAATGAATGGCCCCAGGTCCCTTGACAAATGTATCCTCCGCAACGCGCCCTTCAATGAACGCCTGGATGTTTTTCGCAACAACCGCTGCCTGTGCCGAGCCTGGCCGAGCGGCTTTTTGGGCACCAGTATCTGCAATATCACCCACAGCAAAGAAGTTCGAATATTGCTCGTCCAAGAACTGCATGGTGGGTTTAACGCGAATAAATCCATTATCCGGATTGACGACCGACTCGCCGTTCGGGCGGGAAGACTTCAAGTCAGCCACTAGCTGGTTATTTGGGGTTTGCCCAGTGGCTAAGATGACGAATTGAGTGGACTCGGTGTTACCGTTTGTGAGTTGAACATCAAAGATGCTGCCATCGTTGGGAAATCCGCTCGGTGGAACAGTGACTCGAGAGCCAGTGATGAGTCGAATTCCCAGCTCATCAAATCGTCTCTTAATCAGGTCATGGAGTGCGGAGTGGAAACTCGGCATCACCTGCGGCCTCGATTGAACCACGGTCACCTCTTTCTCTGGGTAATATTCTTTCAGATCGGTTGCCATTTGAACGCCGACGGCACCGCCACCGACAATCAAAATCGATTGGGCTCTGTTAACTCCACCTTGATGCTTTTGCAAATACTCGACTGACGATGCCTTATCATCATCATCCATAGCTGCAGGCTTAGAGAGACGTGTGCCAGTCGCAATAACGATGTAGTCAAATGGAACCTGTTTCGACCCCTGCCATTCATGGTCCAACTCAACATGGGTAGGCTGGACCGACAAAACGCGAGCCTGAACTACGCCATGGGAGGAGGGGTTGGGCGAAGCATTGAAGATCCCGCTGTACGGAATAAACGCTTTGTGCTCTTGTCCTGGAACAATTGCAAACCGAGGCTATGGGCCATGTTAGCTCTGGGGGATGTACTAGAATGACCCCCCCGCTATTCGAGTCTACTCACAAATGTGAAAAGATGGTGGAAGTGGCTATGAGGCTCAGTCAAGAGGACCTGCATAAAATATTAGCTTCGTCTTCAAGGCAGGCCCTGGATGGTAGCGTACCCGGTGTGTTGCAGGCACGACGCGTGCGAGCTCCTGAGCCGTGGTCTGTATTGACATTAGTGGTTAGACTCTCGGACAGAAGAGTGAACTCACACGTCCGACGAACGAGCCGCCAACCACAATAATATTCCGTAGTGAGGTTTCCATTTTGAAATATGAAGTTTTGAGAGGAGCTTCCAAGATTGGCCAGAAGAACCCTTTATAAATTTCCCTGGGTTCTGGCCCTTTTTGTAATCTGATCAGATTATCAGATTAACTCCGAGGGGAATTTCCTCATTCGGCTAATCCCGAAAGACCGGAGTAGTTTATATCCGCCGAAAACCGAACGCCACCTCGAACTCCCGGCATCCCATCTGAAACGTGGTCAAATACCTAGGATGAGATGCAAATTCAAGTCAGTCTCGGATGACTGTCGGGTTCCTGGAGTAGAATTTTGACTATGAAGAGAGAATACATTTACATATGGATATAGCAGCATATGATTGTGGAGTGGACTACCGAGGAGGCCCTGTTTTTGATCAAGAGATGGCATAATTGGCATGGTATGGATTCAGCTATTCATATCCTGGGGCCTTCTCTCAACTCGAAATTTGCAAAGAATAAATACGGAGGCCGTCCAGTGAACCATAATCTGAAGGATAATACGCCCACTTGGGCAAGAAACGATATGAAGAAACCCATGGAACCGTCTCTAGACTCGCTAGATAGAAAGTACTTCGGAAATCAAATGTTTACGCAGGGTGCCAGGTGATGGTTTTCGCAAGGGGTCCACCACGATCATAAGCGGCCAGCACATTGTGGTGATCCAATGCCATGATTCCAGGCCAGAAACTGGAGGCCGGGGAGAGAAGAGTTGGCGAGCTCCATTGGACGCGCCCTTCCACCGGCTGGCTAGCAAATACAACCTTGATAGAGGCATTCTTTACCCATTCCACGTGCTTGGAGTCTTCGTCTGTCATGAATATTGTGGCCATAGATCCATCCGCAAAAGAGGCAATTTGGGGAGAACCTGCATTATGACCTTGTCGTGGCCGAAAAACTTCATGGCGCCAACCCCAGGTGGCACCGTCATCATACGATAGAAGCGCTTCAACACTGAACGGTCCGTACCGGGTTGTCTCGAATACCATGAGAAGAGCCTCGCGACCGTTGTCGAAAGTTCGTGCAATGCCGCACATTCCATCGCGAAGCGGATCTTGGTCACCATGCAGGCAGGTCGGTTGAGTCCAGGTACTTCCTTGATCCCGCGAGACGACCAGCATGGTACATTGGTTGTTATGTGCGAATTCCTGCGAGAAATAAAGCTGCACTTCACCCTGGCGCCCGACACGCATGAATGGTTCCCAAATTCCCAAAGGAGGGCGCTTCTCGGCTGCCTGTGAAGCGAATTTCCAGGTCCGACCACCATCCGTAGACCGGCAGACAGTGATGCGGAAATGCGTGGGGCCATTTGGGCCCTTGTCATGATTGCGAAAAGCCGCCAGTATTGTCCCCGGAGCCACCTCACACAAAAACATGTTATCCACGTCGCCAGCGCCGCGTGTGACCTCAGAGAAGTCTGCGAAGGTGAGGCCATTATCAGTACTTCTTGCGACGCGAAGAGAGCGTTGTCCATCGGGGAATCGGGTAAAGGACGATAGGATAGTTCCATCTGAGAGCCTGCAGAGACGGGGGTATGTGCCATTGTTGGGAGGTGAAGATAATCCGCGTTCATCGTTGTTCACGGCTGGTTTGCCTGAAAGGCGAACCGCCGAAGAGTTCTGCTGATGAGCATGGTCGTTCAGACCCAAGGTCTTGAGTACCTTTTGGCCAAAGTGTCCAGGCATTTTTATCTTGGAAAGCGGAGAAAGTATGACAGAAACTTGCCCTGCAAGGCCCTGCAAGGCTGCGACATTCTGTTACTCAAATACGCGGAGAGACATTACCTGGGCTTATGACGTCATCCTCGGATGTTGCTTACCTAATTGTTTTTGGTCCCCACTGAGCAGGGACCTCGGGAACTGTTTCAGTCGTTTGAGGGACAAAAGCGTTGCTGGAGTTAGACTCCAACATGTCAGTTTCTACTGTTTTAGATTTCATCGTTGCCCACTACGTTGCGTACCCCACGTTGCGTACATCACGAAATAGTCATCGAGTTGGTGCAATTTGCAAATCCGCCGAGTTTCACCCAAGTTGATCACGGATGAATACACAGAGTAGGCTCCGCAATATGCACGGCACGTATCACGTTTGAGCTTGGGGAGCTCACAATATTCATCCGTGCCCCCAATCTGTCCCCATTCCAGCCTGACCGATGTCATTCACGGAGCCTGTTCCCCTATAAAATATGGCAGACATCAAGGCTGTGGTGCATAGGCCTATCTGTGGACATTCCACAACGGTCAAGTCGAAGCGGTGGTTTGGCATATTCACCTTGTGCATTGGTGGCTCGGGTGGTACTTATCAGCTGAGTCTCTATGGCATGAACCATTGATTTCGTCTCCATGGAGAATGTGAAGAGCCATATGCAGGGTCAAATTCGCGGACTGGATCATGTCGTACATATGTACTACTGTGGTATGTGCCATGATGTTCGCAATGAGGTGTGCCTTTCCTCCCGACTTGATCAAGGGGGGCCGCTAAGGACAGGTTGCGGAAATGATGTGAGCTTCGCGCAGTTAAATCGGCACTATCATATGGTTATGGATGTGTGAGCTCGTTGATATATTCATAGGCAATGTTTCTCGCATGACGACCGTAGGACGTTGGGCCCTGTATTTGCCATTCTACAGGTATTGTTCAATGGGCCCGAGCCTGGCCTTACCTTTACATACACATATGCCCAGTCATCGCAGGACCTAAATTCAAAGTCCGAGATTTACCTCTCCCCCGTGAAACTCGAGGAAAGCAACGGCGAGGCGTCGAACATGGCTGACACGGCTCCACCGAGGTCTTAGTCGATCAAATGTCAGGTCATAACCAGCTATCTGTATCCCTTGGGGAACGAGCATCAGCATGACTACAGGAATGTGCAAGATATTTGGGCTTTTTCCTCGCGGGACGCCTCCATCTTCATGAGTCTTCTGCAAGCCTGCCTTTACTTTTCTTGATCGAGACCCAAAACTGAAAGATACACAACACTGGGCCAATAGAGGAGCTATCACTTGAGCGGGTACTCGGTCTCACTTTCGACCCTATGACAGACGCAAGGTTGATACCCTCGCATGATTAACTTGGCCGTACAACTTGAGGTGTGAAATATGGCGGTTGAGATGTCCAGTCATCACAGGAAGGTAATTGCATTCAGGATCAGAGTGCTTGATAAGTCCAAGTATCTAATAAGCTATCCAAAAAGTCCGATTATTACATTCCCATGAATATTCGTCTACCATCCACTTCGGATGTACACAGTGATTCTACCAGCATTTTCTCAGCCCCGTCAAGTTTTTTAACTGCTATTCTATTCCTCGAACGTGATTCTGACAATCTTTGCGGGCTCGATGAATGAGCCCAAAACAGGCGCAATCTGACCACCGTTGGTGCCGACATAAAGTATCTGTTGATCTTTGCTCAATCGAACCGAGCTTGCACCTGCCAGTTGTGTGGATACTTGACCACCCGCAACGAGGGAGATCTGGCCCGAAGGTGTGAGGCGCACAACAGAGTTCTGGGGAGCTGTCGGGATATACGCAGTGCCATCCGTGGTCATCTCGATGTTATCTGGTAGGAACCCACTAGCAATGATTTCAAAATCTCCGATTGGTTTGACGTCCTTGTCCACCTTGACCTTACAATACACCATCCGTGTAGTGCCGGTATAGTACACATAGTCATCAAAGACTGTCAGGGCATTCACACCCAAAGGAAGAGCCTGGCCCTCTGCCGGAGCCATTGTAGTATGATTCAGTGCGACAGAATAGTCTCCTGTTTTGGTGTCGACCTTCCATATAATTCCCTTGGGGCTATCGGCAATGAGAACCAAGTTCGACCCCCGTGAGAATGTGACCATGCCATTCGGAGCATCCGCATCGGGCATTGCGACGATCTCTGAGGCCTTTGGTGATTCCAGCGCGCGCTCGCTCCCCTCGGCCTCGAACTTGGTGAAGTCCAGTTTATGGAGTGAGAACGAGCCTGCACCTGGCTGGAAGGTTTTGGAGGAGAAATTACCCACAACAACTGCGAAGATATCGTCGTCGATTTCACTGATTCCAAAGCAACTTGTGACGTTGGGGAACGAGTAGACTAGCGTCGCGTTTGCGCTCGTGGTATTGAAAAGCCAAACCTCGGGGGTGTCTAGACGCGTGAAAAGAAGGTGTCCGTCTGACCGAACAACCATATTGTCGATCCATGAGCCATTGTTGGGAAATTGAAAGACGTCCTCAACTTTCACATTAGGTTGCTCATTGCGGTAGGGCACTGCAGATATCTCTTTCAAGGTATCCAAGAAAGGCCAGGTACCTAGAACTACTGGAAGAATAGCTAGGCCGCTGTGCAAGGTGGTATGGAAGTGCATGCTGTCGACAATGATCGGATGTTGGAAAGAACAACAGTGAGGGATGTCCTGGTTAGCTATATGCTGCTACAACATCAGCGCCAATGGGCCAAGAACTTGAAAATGCTCAGCAAATTCATCTGTCATTATGTTTTTGTTTTTGCTTTCCAATAATGCGGGAAGCCCATCCGCATTCCTCGGCAGGGATGTCTTGATGTTGCCGAAGCCAACCCCTACATACCCTACATAGTAGTTAGCCATACATAACCATGCATTGTTCGGATATACTTATCAACAATGAGAAAAAGACAAACATCACTAGGTAGACAAGCGTATTCTCAATGTTGTGGGCTGGTTGAGATTGGACTTTAATTTTCTTATTCCCAATAGTGGTAAAAGTATGTAGGTATCAATAACCATGTTAGACGCAACTAAACATACAGATAGCTAGTGCTACGATTGGTTGGGAGAGTCGGGCTTTGTTTGACCCGCACCTCACGAAACATATATCTTGACTTGAAGGACATATATTTCAACAAATATATATATCAATTAGGAGCTTATATTTTATATTCTAACCCTTAGAACCCATTAAACTAACCTAAGAGAGCCTATATCCGGTGAATATAGAGCAGCGAGCCCAATATTTAATATCTAACCCGTGCTTGTTAAACCCCCTTAGACCATTCTATATATATATATATATATAAATTTTTATATTATATTATAGACAGATGTTTCAGGCTCTTGATTTTGTTATAAAAGAAAAAGTCAGGCCAAAAGGACTAGAATTGAGTGGTTAGGGGGCGGTGAAATAGAACATTAATTAATGTGACCGTCTCAACTAAATAAAAGAAGGGAGATATTCACAACTGTGAATATTCCCTACTTTCTTTGGTATTATTTTCACAGATGACTTTGGAATGGCTGACCCTTGGGAAGCCGAGCATAGCCGTACATGTTCATTGCAGCCCCATCTTTCTGCATCTGCTGCGCCCATTCCCCAAGGCCTTTCATGAAAACTTCCATGTTGGCGTCATTGCTCAGGTCAATAGGTTCTTCATCTTGTGCGATCTGCAACATTTGTGCGCCCGCAGCGGGGCTTGTCTTAAAGAAGTCCTGGGGATCAATCTTCTGTTGGATCGCACCCTGAACAGTTCTGGCAAGCAGGTCCTTTGGCAGGCGAGGTTCCTGGGTAATAGAACGGCCAAGACCAACGCCATCAACTGTGTCAAGGGCCTGGACCATTCCAGAAGCTGTGCAAAATCCCCCGGTCACATAGCTGCGGGTGCGCTTGAGAGCCGGAGCGATGAGGTCTGCGAATTCCAAGAAGAATGATTCTCGTTTCTGCGAAGACTCCCGTTTGTGCTGGAAGGCACCAGCTTCATAAGTTCCACCAGACAATTCGACAAAGTCAAAGTTCGTGCTGTCAAGGATCGCACATAGCTCCTTTGACTCCTCGGGGGTGAATCCATGGGCTTGGAATTCCACCGAGTTAATCTTGATTCCAATGATAAAGCCGGGATTCGGGAGTGCTTGACGAATAGCCTGCGCAATTTCCACAATAATCCGTGCACGATTGGCCAAGCTGCCACCGTATTTATCTGTCCTCTTGTTCGTTGTCTGGGACAAGAATTGAGCGAGGAGATACCCATGAGCGGAATGCAGCTGAATACCATCATACCCAGCCTTTTGTAGATAGACGGCTACGTGAACAAAGCGGCGGATAATATCCTGAATCTCCTCCTCGGTGGCCGCGTGGGGTTTTCCAAATGCGCCAAATTTCTCCATGACGAGCTGGACATCGCTAGCAGAAACTGGGTTGGATTGCAGCTTCTCAAATGTCTGACGACCAGGATGGCTGACCTGACCAACGATCAAACTTCCGTGCTTCTTAGCGGCAGTGGCCAGTTGTTTGAATGCCTCAAATCGTCCACCAGCAAATGGATTCTCAAGATCGATGATCATGTTTCCCGGCGACTCAAGCTGGTCGTATGCAATCATAATGTTGCCGGTAAGGATAAGTCCAAATTGACCCTCCCCCCACCGACGATAAAGATTGATGAGATTTTGGCTGGGAATACCTCGAGCTGAAAGATCAGTTGGAGACCAGGAGGCCATTCTTTCAGTCAAAGCGGCCTTCAAAAAGCGATTGGAGGCTTTGCGCTGACTGAATTCAAATTGAATTGGCGTCCCAAGAGGTGACACGTCGACAATTCCGCTGGGAAATCTTGGAGACATAGTGAAACAATGTGATTTATACCAGTGATAGCTGTAATCCGGAAGATAATTTATGTTTAATAATTGAGGGACATGGCTTTTATATTCTCAAAGTACAACCCTTGGTCACTAATTCAGGCCCACCTAGTTCCACCGTGGATCGGCAGTCTTTTCGGTCAGAAGTCTGTCAAGGGAATGAATTCCGATCGTGATCCACTCCACGATACATGTAAGCATCTTGTTAACTATCTAAGATTGGAACTATCCCCAGATACTCCTCAGATATCGTCTAGATGTTTGGTATCATGCATTTCTAATCTATATACATCTGCAAGCAGCATCAATTCACAGGGAGTTAATGGTCCCGAAGCCGTTTTCCTTTTTCAATTCTTCTTCAAATAAGATTTGTAATCATATATTCCCTGATATTGCCCAGGTTGGTGTGACCTCTCATTGGTCTGCTGTGTTGCCCACTCATCCAATACAATCTTCTGCATAAACTTGAGTACCTGGTACATTATTTTGTATTGAAAGGCCGAGAGTGATTGGAGATAGTGACACATGAGTTGCTACTGGTCGCATTGGACTGGGTAGCTCGGTGTGGTTGATGCGGGGGAGAAGATAGAGTGTTTCAAGCGCAATGAAAACCGTGAAAAGCATTAAGGCGTCAAATAAATATGCATTAATGAAGAGTCTCAAAAGGAAAAGCCATGGGCATCTGTGTCCAGCGTGTTACGTGTGTCCGTTGTCTGTTTGTGGTTATGCTCAATGCAAAAGACCAACAATTGAACGCTATGATATCAAAGGGATGAAAGAGAATTATCGACCAGCTTCAACCATACCATGTCAGAACGAAACACGGAAAGAAAAGAGAGAGGGAGAAATGCCACTATAATAAATATCAAGACATCGGTAAAACGCCGAGGTCATATAGCCGAAGAAGCCGAGCCCCACCTTTTTCAAGACAAAAGAATCCCTGACCTTTTGGATATTCAAAGATTATTTGAATCGAAACAGCCGATTCTTCTGTTACCTATGGAGACGGAGAGTCCAGATCGGCCTCGCACGCGGGCAAAGAAAGCATGCCTGTCATGTAACTCGCGTCGCGTGCGGTGCAACGTCTTAGAAATGCAGCCCTGCCAAAACTGCGTCTCATGGAATCTCGCTTGCGAAGTAGGGGTTTCACGTCGCGGAAAGTATGCAAATCATACATAATTGTTCGAGTTTATACTCATTCTAGGTAGATATCCCCGGCGAAAGAAAAAGGTATCGGCTCGAACACCCACAACGCCCAATGACACAACAAATGCGTTGGATTCCCGAGTTATACAGGGACAATTTCCATTACCCGGACAGAGATCTCAGTATCCACTCACTCGTCCCGCAACAGCGGAGGATGCGATTCATAAAACCGTCTTTCTTGGCGAGTCAAGTCCTCTCACCTGCGTTGTAGACGAAGGGCGACGATCTCCAGACAAGGGGTATGCATGCAGTATCCAAAAAGGCCGACTCCACTACTCCATCTCTGAGATTGGTGGCATAACTGGAAGTAGCCAGGATTCACTGGGGTCCCGCCGCAAGCTGATACATGATCGCCTTACCCGGGAAGGGGCTCTCGTATTCCCATCGCCTGCTGTCTGCGAGACGTTACTTCAAGCTTATTTTGACTGGCTCCACCCATGTTTTCCAATCCTTGATCGGGCAGACCTGCAAAGTAACTATCAAGATGGCAGGCTGTCACCTTTGCTCTTCCAGTCAATGCTCTTCATTGGTGTGAGCTTGTGCTCGGATACAGATTTGAACACTACGGGCTTTAATAATCGTTACCAAGCCAAAGAAGTATTTTATCAACGAGCAAAGGATATATATGATTCAGGATGGGAAACCGACACGGTTATAAAACTGCAGTCGTTGTTTCTCCTGAGCTTTTGGCGTGGAAGCCCAACCGAGGAGCGTGATGTTCGATTCTGGCTTGGAGCTGCTATCAGCCTTGCCCAGAAAAAGGGCATGCATGTCATGTACGCGTACCTCATTTAATTGGGTCTGAATATACATTGACTAGAATAGGTCGAAATTGTCCTTCCTGAATACACGGGACCAAAAGCTTTGGAAACGAATCTGGTGGGCTTTATATGTACGCTTCTCGTTTCTTAATTTGTACTCATCAGCCCCCGGAATTAACATTTTATTAGGTTCGTGATCAACAAACATCAGCAGCTTTGGGACTGCCACCTCGAATACGTGACGAAGACTGTCAAATCGCAGATCTTGAAGCCGCAGACTTTGAGGAAAGCGAGCCTATGGGACCTCCTACAATATTCCGCACACCACCCAAAGTACACGTTCCTTACGTGATTGGAATGGCACAACTGGCCAGGCTATGTATAATATCCTAATACATTGGTACATTCGCATTTGCTAACGGTTTTATCTCTAGTGCGGGAAATAGTTTGCAGCCAGTATCTACCTGGTCGATCCAAGTTGGGCAATGATGCTCGGCCAATGCTTCGTCAACGTTTAATTGACTGGGAGTCGCTCCTCCCGAAGGAAATGCATTTTCAAATGCCCATGACTAGGGAAGCAATGTTCCTGGTTGGCATGCTTCATATGGCTTACAAGTATGTACTGGTGCACTAGTAGTAATAACCGAGACCCTTTCCGGCTAAGATCCATACAGCAATTTGTACATTCTCCTATACAGACCCCTTTTCTTGCAACCCCCGTCCAGTCGGTGAATCCAGAAGGAAATGCCGCCCTGGATGCAGCAACACGAAGCACACGAATTTTAGAAGATATGCTCTCAGAAAATTTGGTCCAACATGGATCAGTTCACTTGTAAGTTCTTCTAACCACCTCGAACTATATTAAGACTAACCCCCAAAATAAATGAAAAACAGAATTACCCACACTTTCTCGGCTTTATGTATACACACCATTCATTTCGGACGGGTAACCGGCACAGCCCGGAAGTTAGCAGAACACAGGGCAAAGTTATGCCTCTTGGGCTTGAAGGAATTACAAAAATCATGGGACTTGGAGAACTGGGTCCTCGATCTTTTCTTCAGATGCTTGGATGATCGCACTGCTCGCGATCTCCGATTAGCTGACCCTGCTATGTCCTCAACATCACAAACAGGCGATGATCGAAATATCGAGGAGATACCACCTGCGTCTCCTGCTAGTGGTCCATATAGACCTCGTTCGCCTAACGCAGGGGAGGATCTCTTACAAACTCCTAACATGGTATCTCATCATAATCCGGGGGAAGAGGCGACAATTAATATGGACTGGTATGAGCTGTTTAACGTGGAGGGTGATGATGTGATGGGCCTTGCTGGCTCATTATCGAATCCAGACTATTTGAACCCACAGAACCTCGAGTTTCTGTATCGATTCCTATAGTACTGCAGTTTCAATGCCAATACTAATTCCCACTATCTAATTGCACATATAACGTGAAGATCTGTAGAATTGCCGCCGAAAATGGCTGAGCTGATGACGCCGTAGTTCATGGAAAATGGTGGCGTCTGCTTTCTCAAATTGTGTGTATGAATACTTGGGCTCTTATAATATTTATTGTATATGTGATCAATTTGATAGACCTAATTCCGCAAGAATGGCTTCATTGTGCTCCCCAACCTGTGGAACTGAGCCCATCTGAGCGCCATATCCGGCTCTTTCAGCCGACATGCTAGATCCAGGAGGCAAAAGAGCAGGAATGGCTCCCACGGGGGTATGAACCTTGGTCCATCGGTCTCGTGCTTGAAGCTGGGTATGGTCCCAAACATTTCTCATGTCATTGACACTAGCGTTGGCGATTGACGCTGCGTCTAACCGAGCTATTGTTTCGTCTGCCGTAAACTTCGAGAACGCATCATGAATGATAGATTTGAGCTCATCCCGATTTTGAGTTCGCTGTGAGTTGCTGGAGAATCTAGGATCCGTGGCTAGATCTGGCTGCGAGAGGACATCACTGCAGAAACTGACCCATTCCCGCTCATTCTGAATGCCCAACATGACTGACTGGCCATCACCAGCTTCGAATGGTCCATAAGGGTAGATGGCTGCATGCGAGGCACCTGCTGGTACCGGACCTGGGGCATTGTCGAACGCATAGTACATTGGGAATCCCATCCATTCCACCATACTTTCTAGCATGGATATGTCAATCTGACAACCTTGGCCATCTTTACCACGCTGGAGTAACGCCGACAGAATGTTGGTGTAGGCGTACATTCCCGCAGCAATATCGGCGATAGAGATACCAACCTTTACCGGCTCTTTTCCAGTGCCCGTGACGGATAGCATTCCAGCCTCGCTCTGAATTAGAAGGTCGTAGGCTTTCTTGTCCCGATATGGGCCATCTTGTCCATATCCAGAGATATCACACACAATCAAACCAGGGTGTTTCTCTTTCAATGTTTCATGGGAAAGCCCCAGTCGTGCACTGGCACCAGGAGCCAAATTCTGAACGAGAACGTCGGCCTTTTCGAGGAGCTTCATCAGGACGGCATGGTCCTTTTCGCGTTTGAGGTCCAGAGCCAAACTCTCTTTGGAGCGGTTTGTCCATACGAAATGCGACGCTAGCCCACCCACTCGTGTGTCATAGTGTCGTGCAAAATCCCCAACACCTGGTCGTTCGACCTTGATGACTCGAGCTCCAAGATCGGCAAGTTGTCGCGTGCAAAAGGGCGCAGCAATAGCTTGCTCCAGACTAACCACGGTGACTCCAGCCAGAGGCAAAGGTCTGTGTGCAGCAGAAATCGCGCTAGAGTAAAGCCGAGACGTGAGGTGTGATCCTTTTGCAGGTTGAACCGCCCCCGACAGGGCATATGGCCGGGAAGTGAGTGAGAGGAATGTTTTCATTGTTGGCTGGGCCTTGGAACCTGGCGATATTGGTGTGAATTTGGACTCCAGAGACAGCTAGCTACCTTATAGATATGGGAAATTGATCTGAGGTTCTGAGCTGCCGAGTCCCCAAACAGTCGACGCGGAAAGACCTCGGTCAAAATGCCGATCTCCATATACATAGCACATGCCAAGCCCGACGAGTCGGCTGTATGCTTAAGAGTCAAGTGGACACAATTGATGACATCGCTGTGAAGAACAGCCTCCATTCAGGTTTGTCAGGCCAAGAGCTCACCTGAATAAACCCAATAATAATACTTTGTACGGAGTACTTACATCGAGACCAAGCCTTTGTTGTCCCTGTTTTGTCGAAATGACGCTCGGGGAGTGACCGGAACATATATTCTGGTAACTTCTCAAAATATGCAGATTTCAAGTCTACAAGGCAACAGGCAACACCCGTGGATATGAACTTCGCTATATCTAAAAATCAACTACGAATGTCGAGGCAAATCCATCTTTCCTCAAGCTCCGATTTTGACGAACGCCAAGCACACGGGAAATCCACGTGTCCAATAAGGCGCGACGGGGAAGTTTGTGGGAGTTAAGTGGCGGGGACCCCTGAAAGAACCTCGTATTCTCGCAATGTGTCTGCTTTTTGCGCCTATCCATGCAATAAATGTAACATATCCCGATCAGACAATATGGTCGGTGTTCCACGCAGCAAGGGCTGCTTGGCGTGTATTCAGCGGCGGGTTAAAGTAGGAAATCTCCAGTCATACACTATTTCCTTTTCGTTGTCCCTTTTTTTTTTTTTTTTTTTCAAGGTAACACTCTAATCCAGAGTCCAGTGCGATGAAACTCAGCCATCATGTCAATATTGCGAGAGAAGAGGGAACGTATGTCCAGGCTACACAAGGAACCGGAAGTTCTATCATTTCTCTGCAAGCAGTCAGCACCCTTCAAGAACCGCATCCCCCCCGACACAATCAACATCAAGTATGGCATTGGTCACAACAAAAGAAGCCCATCAATACGGCACGATTCGCCGGGCGTCTATGGATGATGCTCTAATCCCAGGATTGGTGTCCAAGGCGCTAGACCGACAATGCAGGAAGGGCTTTTGTGATTTTGTGGACGCGGTGTTTCCGAACATTTATTACAGCTACAGCACCCGTGTAGAACTTCCTTGGTTCGAGATTGCTCAGTACGACCGAGGTGCAGGGGCTGCAATGGAGTGGGGGTTTCGCAGCCTTGGGAGCTTGCAACTAGGCAGAGTAAATGGCAATCAACGACAGATTCTTGCCAGTCAGGAAATGTACGGCCGTGGACTGCGCTATCTTGTTCAAGCTGTCAGAAATCCTGCTACAGTTGGCACGGATGATACCCTTGGAGCCGCAATCCTGTTAGGCATTTATGAGTTGATGAATGCAACAGAGGAAAACTCGTGGCTGCTGCATTCACGTGGGATATCTCATCTCTTACGTCTAAGGGGTGCGAAGAGGCATGCGAGTGGGTATGGCCGTACTCTGCTCTTATCTTTTCGAGGACTTCTAGTTTATGAGGCCTTCACTCGGGGGGAGGCATGTTTTCTGGAAAGCGAGGAATGGAGAGCAACTCTTCCGGAGACCCTAGAAGACGAGGAACGGCGTGGCAAAAGCTGTGGCCTGGGCCAGCTCATGGATTATGCATTCAATGAGATAGCTCAGTGCCCGGGGTTTCTTGCCAAGACCAAAATTCTGGTCGCCTCCTCGCGAACTACCGATGCAGAGAGAGAGGATTTAATGGCTGCAATCAATAGCAGCCGAGAGGTCCTGGGTGATGTGGAAATCCAAATACTGGCTGGGATTAAGGCTGACCACGAAGGGAATAAGAAAGAGTCTCGGGCTTTCTTTGGATTGATTCCCCGTTCCATAAAAAATGCTTCGGTGAAATTCACACTCGAGGGTGTTCATTCAGCGATCGCACTTCTCCGACAGTTGTCAGTTGTGCTAGTGTCCGATCGGAGTCGACAAGAAGCAGTGACACCGTGGCTGAAAGTCGGTCCGTGTAAGAAGGACTGGAAGGTCATGAAGGATGCCGGTGGAATTGCTTGGGCCCAAGAAGAGATTGGATTAGACCCAACAAGTCCACAGCAACAGGGCAGTCCGAATGTCTGGCATGACCGGATCGCCTTGGCAATGGGGATGCCAGAAAAGGTTTGACCAATCCACACATTCAGGGTAGGCTATCTATGTAGTCTTGATCCGACCTCAGTTTCTGCGCCTGTGAGCCATAGTCGGAGTTTGTTTCGTCCATTGCGCAGATTTGCTCTGAGTGGAACGATGACTGAATTGCTGTGCCGCAGTGTTAAGTGGTATTCCGAGGTCTAAGTGCCGCATGTGCCGATTTTTTGCGCAAATGACTCGCAATTGGTCAAATTTACCTGGAAAGGTCAAAGGAGTGAAAGCGACCGTGCTGTTCTGAGAAACTGGAAGTCACGGGGATACGGTCATGTGCGGTCATGTGCGACAATCAACATCAACCATCAAAAAAAAAAAAACCTACTCCATACCTGGGCACTTTTCAGATCGACGGGAAATGACATTGTCACAGCCCACATGGGGCTGGGGGTCCACCTGTCCACTTTGGCAATGAAATCTGGAGTGAGAAGAAAAGAAAAGAAGGTTCGACGGCAATGCTGGTGTTTCAAATCCGGCGATCACCGGAATAAGAGAGGGCTGTGACATCGCAGTGAAGTCATGCATTGCGAGTATTCTGTACTTCCGAGGTCCGTCCTCCTTGGATATTGTATTTTGTGCATTGCAAGAGATTATTTTATTCTGCCCCACTGCGTTGGATTGGATTCTCCAATTATATGAATTGCGTTGCCTGGTCTCCAGCCTTCCGTGTCTTACACTTTTCAACACTCTCCATGTTCTGACCGTACACTTAAAAGGGGGTGGGGGGGGAATGCATATTGATATTGTGTAGGGAGTACGGAGTAAGACATTTTATGTTGGTTCTTCATTTCATGCCCTTCATGTTATGCTTACATGACGAAGTATACAGTCCTACCTTGGTATAAAGTCCTTTGCAGGCAGAATTTTAGCCAACGCTAGCCTGTACAAAGAAAACCATGTCAAACACGCATGGCGCAGATCATGGTAAGGTGTGATCGATCGTTCCTGGAGGAAGAATGCTGGGGCGCTCCCGTCACATTTTCGAAACCGGCGATCATCCCCACCCAGGGGAGGCAAGTCGTCATACAATGGGGTACCTACATCCGGAGTATGCACGATACAAAGTACAATACATGTGATTGATGTATAACCCCATCTTGGTACATCTTCCTAATGTATGATTTGCTCCGAAATGCAACGCAACACGGGTACCTGGGAGTCTTTGCGGGTGCCTGGGCGGCCCAAGATTCCAGCCACCGGTGCTTGCGTGGCCCCCGAAGTGGTCATTCATTCGGATTGGTCACGATGAATGCTAAGCATTCTGTTGGACACTAATCTAAGCTTAGCTGGCCATTGGGAGTGCTCCGGATGGACCACCAACGTCATACGGGA